GGCCTTCTGTGCTGGAACCTTATTACCTTATCTGTATTACCAAAATCGAACTGTGGAGCTCCAACAATCTGGGGTATTACCTGTAAAGAAGGGTTTGTGTTCCTGCCCTGTGGACCTCACAGAGGGAGTTATGGCTTCTAGGAGATGTTGCAGAAGCGTGGTGTGGCCACCTTGTGCCTGGGTCTGCCACGCCACAAACTCTTAAAGAGTCTGCCCAGCGTCCCCTCGTAAGATGAGAAAACCGTTCCCTTCCAGAGGGACGGAGGAACAGGGCTAGGGGCTTCGCAGAACACTGGCTCATTGTCCAAAAAAACACATAAGGGTCTGTATATCCTTATAGGGCATGACTTTTAGTGCAGGGCTCTTAGAGGCCTGTATCATTCCAATAATTCTCCCACTGCCCAAAACATGGCTGAAATTCCTTCCACAAAAGGAATTTGTGCTGAGCACTTCTAGGACCCCAGACCCATTATTTTGGCCATCATCAAAAATCAGATCTTACAATCCCTGACCAAAGATTTCAAATGAACCTTGTCAAACAATGCAAATCTTTCCAGTTGCACCATTCCAGTTATCCGGCCTCTTAGATATCTGAGAACATACGTACCTGACCAGCTCTTCCAGGTTTGTTAAAAAGTCAGCCATGTTACTTTATAATCATACCTTGTGGATAAGCAATTTCCATTTGCAGCCTGGTATTTCTTGGTACAGATGCCAGAGCCCCACTCCAGACCTGCTGGGTCACATTCTCTGGGACACACATGCATTGGCAGGCTTTAAATAAAGCTCCATTAGCAATGGTAATGCATTGCTCTAGAGAACAACAAATCCACCTCAATTATACAGAGGGGGAATTTAGGCCCAGAGAGGGTAAAGGTCTTCCCCAAAGACCTAGAAAGACAGAGCTAGAAAGTAAAAAGATGGGACCTGAGCAAGGTCTACTCCATTCTACCATTCTGCCTCCTTTCCTGAGTGTCATAAACAGTGGAAACTACCATAAAATCAAGTAACTGGGATTGGCTTTCTAATATCTGGCAGGCCTGTCTTCTCTTTGCTCTGGGGAGTAGTCACCGGGGACCTTAGGTTGGCTCAGTGGTTGAGTATTTACCCATGAACCAGAAGGCCCTGGTTCAATTCCCTGTCAGGGCACATGCCCAGCTTGTGGGCTGCATCCCTGGTAGGAGGCAGGTAGGAGAACCAATAGAGGATTCTCTTTTACCACTGATGTTTCTCTCTCTCTCCTTATCCCTTCCTCTGTCTGAAATCAATAAAAACATAGATAGATAGATAGATAGATAGATAGATATGAAAACAGACTCTCCTTAGAGGAAACTTGGGGTGGTCTCATTAAGATTCATTTGGTAATTCCAATGTTGTGTGTCCAGAGACTCCTGCCCCAGGGCAAACTTTAAAGTGTGCTTTCCCAGGATTGATGCCAGTTTTCTAACTGCCTCCCACTTAAAAAAAAAAAAAAAAAAAAAAAAAAAAAAAAAAAAAGAATGTCCTGCCTTGTTTACATGATAAGAATAGTCAACAGCAATTGTTCAGCGCTCAGTGTGGAAAGTCGCAAACATCACTTTCTCTTTACAGAGCCCTGTGAGATGGGTAGTACTATTCTCCCCGTTTCACAGCTGAGGAAACAGGCTTAAGTACACCCAGAGTCACACAGCTAGGAGGCGACAGAGCCATGATGGATCTGTTTGACCTCAGAGCCCAGTCTCTCGGCTACTGAGCACTGCTGTCTTCGAGGCACTGAGTGAGAGGGAAGTAAACATCCCTTGATCTGATTTGTCGAGCATTCACAGACTCCACTTTTTTTTTTTTTAATATATTTTATTGATTTTTTACAGAGAGGAAGGGAGAGGGATAGAGAGCCAGAAACATCGATGAGAGAGAAACATCGACCAGCACACCCCCTACCGGGGATGTGCCCGCAACCAATGTACATGCCCTTGACCGGAATCAAACCCAGGACCCTTCAGTCCACAGACCGACGCTCCATTCACTGAGCCAAACCGGTTTTGGCACAGATTCCACTTTTAAAATAGAAAGACTGCAGAAGAGCAGAGGCCATGGGGATCTCTCACTCACCCTGATCACAGTCCCGGCAGAGCCCTGGGGACCCAGTGGTATTGGTGGCTGCCTGGCATCACTTTCTTAAAAAAAAAAAATGATTTTTTTTTTTTTTTTTTTTTTACAGGGAAGAAATGAGAGGGATAGATAGTTAGAAACATCAATGAGAGAGAAACATCGATCAGCCGCCTCTTGCACACCCCCCACTGGGGATGTGCCCGCAACCAAGGCACATGCCCCCAACCGGAATCGAACCCGGGACCCTTGAGTCCACAGGTGGGCACTCTATCCACTGAGCCCACCCAGTTAGGGCTGGCATCACTTTCAGTACCCTGACCTGGGTACTATCTTGTCACAGTGTTGCTTATCTGGTATGGTCCTCAGCTCTAGTGGAAAGTAACAGCAAGGACCTGCCGGAGCTGTGCAAGCCCAGAAGAAAGCCGCAGGCTGTTTATGGAAGCGGGAGTGAAAAAGAAGAGGAAGAGTTGGCAAAGCTGCCTCCGAGCCCCAAGGCTACACGTAAGGGAGGGACCTTCCTACTCTGTGCAGCTTGGCCTCTGCAAGGGCCAGGGGGGACATGCCACTCAGAGCGACCCTGGTGGGAGTCAGCTGGAGACTTGCAGACACGGGACAGAGTCTGCATCTGCACTCACACATGCAGGGTCAGCCTGAGGAAGGTGGCTCCGATAGGGTCTGAGAGGCCCTGGGGAGCAGAGCCAGGCCCAGGAGTGCAAGTTCCAGGCTGGCCCATTCCCTTGGAGGGGAGGAGCTTACTCCAGGATGACAGGCAGAGTATTGAGAAGGGGGATCAGACATTGAAGGCCCCTGGGCACCTTCCCACCTGGGCACCTAAACTCATTCTTTACCTTCGGCCTTTCATGGTCTGGGGAGAGGGAGACCTGGGCCCTGCCTGCGGCTGCTACCCAGCAAGGACCAACTTCATCAGGCTGAAAGTTTGCTTTCCCGCTGTGGGCCCCCTTCCACTTCCATTCTAGATTCATGCCCATACCTTAGGCTGTGCGTAATCCTGAAGGCCTGGTGGGGAGGGAGGGGAGGTGGACAGGTGCCGGATCTGTGAGCACACCTGGGATGGGGGTGGGGGTGCGGCCCTAAGAACACAGGAAGAGGGCAGAGAGTGGCTGACTCACTCATGTTCTGTAGCCAAATTGCTCTGGGGTATTTCCCAAACTTGCTTCTCCCCTCACCCTGGACGCCTGTTTGTCTACCTCATCCTAAGCTAACACCTCAAAGCCAAGAAGAAATCAGTCTCCCCTAGTCCCCAGCAGAGTCAGCCTCAGGAAGGGGATCAGTGAATGGGTTGAGCTGGGTTCAGGTTCATATGGGAACCCAACAGAGTATTCTGAGAAACAAGTTAACTGGGCCCATGTGTCTGCATATAAGTATTTCTCTCTTGGGAGCTTGTTTGGAGGTTCTAGCAGGGGAGCGCAGCTACTCGTATACCCTTGACCGAAGACCGGTCCTCTCCTCTTGGGGGAAAGTCGTCCTCTTCGACCGAGCGCGCAGCTTCGGGAGGGACACACATGGATCAGTGAGGGAGGAGTGGGACACCCGCCTAGCCAGCCAGATCAGCCGAATCAACCCTGGCGATCAATGGGGTGACACATGTCGCAGCCAGATCGCCCTCACATCCAGTATTTCTCTCTTGGACCGCGACCAGCACGGCTAGAGAGCGGACACAAGTCCTGAGTAGGGGCGACAGGGGATTGAGAAAAAGAAAGAGACAGACACGAGACAGTAGGGAAAGCTGGGACCAGGTGGACAGCTGGCCCTCTGATGGAGAGACAGTGACCCCAAAGCTGGTGCAGCGCGTTCATTTTATACAGTATAATTATAGGAAGTTTTACTAGAGTTTAAGACAAAGGAATTATGTGAAATCATGGTAAAATCAAGCTGTAATACTTCATTCTTTTTTTTTAAATATATTTTATTGATTTTTTACAGAGAGGAAGGGAGAGAGCTAGAGAGCTAGAAACGTCGATGAGAGAGAAACACCGACCAGCTGCCTCTTGCACACCCCCTACTGGGGATGTGCCCACAACCAGCGTACATGCCCCTGACCGGAATCGAACCTGGGACCTTTCAGTCCGCAGACCGACGCTCTACCACTGAGCCAAACCGGTTTTGGCTGTTCTTATGGCTTTTTTGTAATTGTCACTCTTGGCTGAACCCAGATAATTGCATCCGTCCCTTGCTCCTGGCTGAACTTAGATAAAGAAACCCACCCCCTGGCACCTGAGCTAAGGGTCAGGCTGACAACATAGCTGCCTGTGGCACAGTATGTTTCCAGGACGTGGCTCTACCGATGCCACTGAACTCAGCTGGCAATAATCAAAGAAATGCTCAAGGATAGACTGGACCCCTTCTGCAGGCCATTGAAGCCCCACAAACAGAGGAGACTCCTGTGACTTCCGTCTGAAGAGGTGGTTCAAGTCCCCGTTTTCCAGTCCCGGGTTGTGGCTTGAATTCCTTTAGTTTCTAAAACTATCTCTGGATAACTTGGCTGCACACCTTCAGAGCCTGTGATGCTGGAGAGGAGGAAGCAGCAGCGTCTCCTGCTCAGGCCTGTGTCTCCCTCCAATGGCAGGAGGAGGTGAAAGAGCATAAGGAGGGCTTTGGTTTCCAGTCACATCACTTAGTCCCTCAGAACCTCCGTGTCTTCACCTGGAAGATAGGGGTCATCATGAGGCATAGTTCTTGAGCTCAGATGGCAGGGGCCCTTGTCCGTCTCTCCTTGTGGTCCTAAGTCTCTGACCTCATGACTAAGGCCACTGATTCGGGTCCTTCCAGAGTCGACGGTCGACCTTGCTGTTCCTCCCACTGTGAAGCTGGAAAATGGGAGCTCAACCAACGTCAGCATCACCCTTCAGTAAGTCCCCAGGCCCGGAACTGCCCTCGGCCTAGCTCGTCACCCCATGGTGGCTCAGTCCCTTCATATTTCAAGTGTGATGCTCATGCCTCGTCACTTTCAGAGAAGCCAGAGGAAGAGAGGCACTAGCCCTGGGCTGCAGACCGAGGTCCCAGAGTCTCTCTTCCCCCACTCACAGAACCCTTGCTTCCGGTGGGCGGAGCAGGAAGGGGGCTTCTCCCCAGTCATGAGCCTTTTGCCCAGCCGAAAAGAGTCCTTGAGTGACCAGCAGTTGATGCCAGACTTCAGAGTGGCCCTTTCCAAGGCTCTGAGTATTTGAGGAGAGCCCTGAGGTCCGGGGTAAGGAGCTGAGCTCTTGTTAGATCACTTCCAAAGCAGAAGTGTCTCCATCGGGTGGATCTCGTTTGTGTGACCCTCACACTTAGCCTTGACCGAGGGTCTTTCTTGCTGACCTCCGCATGAGGGTGCCGACCTAGTTCAGACTGTGCTGAGAGCCTCCTGGTGTATCCTTCCCTGCTTCACCCTGCACCTGCCTTCCAGTCACATGGATCCTGTAGAGTAGGGGTGTCGAACTCAATCAGAGAAGGGGCCAAAATCTAAAATCCAGCCTAAATCGCGGGCCGAATGGTTTACTGAACAGTCATAAACTGTCATTGTGATGGAAACGCAGCGGAGTGCAGTGATGACAGTGCGGTGCGGGCCACATTGCAAGGCCTGGCGGGACGGATTTGGCCCACGGGCCTTGTGTTTGACACATGTGCTGTAGAGGAAGGTCTGGAGCCCTGTCTTCTCTCTCTTTCCATCTCCCTTCCCTCACCCCTCCTGAGAAGTCTGTTCTCAAACCAAAGCTTTGGTACCAAGGCTCCCCAACAGACCTACATTCTGTCTATAGCCTGGCCACTTGCACCCAGACCTTGTGAATCTCCTCACCACAGCTCTCCCCTCTCCAGAACCCTGGAGTGGCTTTCCACAGTCTTCTACATTAACGCCAGGCCTCTCAGTGCAGACCTGAGCCCCCAGGGGCTGCTCAGACTGTCTCATGGCTTTCTGGGGACACAAAGCTCCCTGCTCAGACCTGAGTCTCGTGCCTTTCCCACCAGAGCAGGTGTCATGGTCCAGTCGGCCCCTGGACACCTTCTTTGGCATTCACAGCCAGTTTCAAACCTTCTCATGTTCTCAGTCAGCTCCAGTAGGGGACATCTCCTCTGATAAAGATAGAAAACTCCTGCCTAGCCAGTATGGCTCCGTGGTTGAGCGTTGACCTAGGAACCAGATAGTCACGGTTTGATGCCTGGTTTGTGGGCTCCATCCCTGGCAGAGGGTGTGCAGGAGGTGGCCTGTCAGTGATTCTCTCTCATCATTGATGTTTGTATCTCTCTCTCTCCCTCTCCCTTACTCTCTGAAATCAATAAAAATATATTTTTTTATATATTTTTTTTATTGATTTTTCACAGAGAGGAATGGAGAGAGACAGAGAGCTAGAAACATCGATGAGAGAGAAACATCGACCAGCTGCCTCCTGTACGCACCCCGCCGGGGATGTGCCCGCAATCAAGGTACATGCCCTTGACCGGAATCGAACCTGGGACCCTTCAGTCCACAGGCCGACAGTCTATCCACTGAGCCAAACTGGTTTCGGCAAAAAAAATACATATTTTAAAAAAGAAAACTCCTTAGGAGCAGGGAGCCCACCTTCTCCCCCCTCAGACTGAGCCCATAGCACTGCCTCACCCTAACTGCTTGAGCAAGGGCAGGCCCTGTGTGAAATCCAGAGGGGGCTGAGATCGCACAGTGTCGTACTCCTCAGTAGTAATCACACTCTTGTCCCCCATAGGCATCCGCTGAATGCAACCTTGGCGATCACTTTTGAAATCACATTTCAATCAAAAAACATCACTATCCTTGAGCTGCCGGATGAAGTAAGTAATGACCCATCACTGGTGGATAGAGCCCTGCTGGGTAACAAAACACATTCTAATTAAGTGCTTCTGGAAGTAGGCCACCATGTCTTTAGGTCGTGGGCTGCCCCTGTCCCATCCCTCTAGAAGTCTCTGGTTTTGGCTTTGTTGGTCTCCTTGAGGACGGGCGTCTTATGCCGTGTAGACGGAATTAGGAAGGTGATGGTAAGAAATGTGAGGCAGAAAATGGTTCTGCGAATGTAGAAGAAATTCTTAAGGTCGTTTTCTAAGACTTTGCTCCGCAAAGGAGACTTTTGTCCCTGCTGGAGACCTTTTAGAAATGCAGACTACCAGGCCCCGCTCCAGATCCACTGATTCAAAATCTGCACCTGAGCGTGACCCTGGGATGATTTGGATCCACGTTAAGGTTTGCAAAGCACTGTTCTGAGAGCCCATTGGTTGAGTGTTATTTCCAAAATCCAGTGCCAGAGTCTGCCTGGTATTACAGCAATAACTATTCATAGCCCTGTTAATATGCAACCTGCTTCTGCCTTATGAAGGATTTGAGCCAATTACTGATAAATTAGATTTTTTTAAAAATCAGTAGGGGAGACAGTATAAAGTAAACAAGGACCCTAGCCGGTTTAGCTCAATAGATGGAGTGTCGGCCTGCGAACTGAAGGGTCGGGTTCGATTCTGGTCAGTGGCACATGGCCGGGTTGTAGGCTCAATCTCCAGGAGGCAGCTAATCCATGATTCTCTCTCATCATGGATGTTTCTATCTCTCTCTCCTTTCTTCCTCTCTGAAATCAATAAATATATATATTTTAAAAAATAAAATAAAGTAAACGAGGGTTTTAACAAAAAAACAGCCAAGATGAACACAGGGATGAAACTGATGACCGTAAGGCATGCCATGCCACGAGGCCCTGTGTGATTGTAGAAATGGGCTGCAAACTGGCTCTGAGCCCCTTAGCAAGCAGACCGTGTGGAAGCATGGGCTTCCTGTGAGAAGGAAAACTCATCTCATCCCACGGTGAACACACACATCATTAGACACAACTCCTCCCACCCCTGGTGTCTCCTGCTGCAGGCTAAGAAAAGCCAGTGGTTCTGACAGCAGATCCTGGCATTCAGCTCTCTGAGGTCTGGCTTGATCCACAGATCACGTGGCTGGTGAGAGGAAGGGCGCCGTCCCACCTTCCCTCAGAGATGAGCCAGGGATAGGCCCAAGGGCAGAACCAAGTTCTGCTCAGAAAGTCTAACATAACACATAAGTGTATGGGGGGTCCCATTTGGCTGGTGGGTCATGTTTCTCCCTTTGGCTAGTAAGCTCCCAGAAGGCAGGGACCCTGTGTGATCTGTCCCTACATTTCCTAGTGCATAGTCTGCAGCTGGGCACTCAGGTCCCAACAAGTACATGGCACTGAATCAAATTCAGTTTTTCTATAGGTTGTGGTGCCTCCCGGAGTGACAGAGTCCTCTTTTCAAGTGACATCTCGAAATGTGGGACAAATTACTGTTTTTCTGCACAAAAATCATTCCAACCAAACCGGGTAAGCTGGGGTTTAAATGGTGGGTAGGAAGGCAGCGCTGGCACATGGGGGTTTCCCTTGGGAGCCCCGTTTCAGCTCATCCTGGTCCCCAAATCCTTTCCAGCCCGAGGATACACTTCTTGGTGATCCGCAGCAACGTCGTCAGTATCATAAACCAGGTGATTGGCTGGATCTACTTTGCAGCCTGGTCCGTCTCCTTCTACCCGCAGGTGATCTTGAACTGGAGGCGGAAAAGGTAACTTGCTGAGCTGTGTGTTCAGGTTCATTTGGTGCCCGTATGACGGGCATTCCCATGAGGCAGTAGGTAGCAGGGGTTCAGCCTTTCTCGCTCTGCTTATCTCCTTTCCTGCCCTTTCTAGAAAGTTGTTGAGGTGAGAGCTCTAAGAGCCTGTGATGGCACTTGTACTGCTGGGCAGTTGGTCTCTTGCCCGATTCAGCTCCTCCCTGTGAAAGCAACACCATGGGGCTTCTCAGAGAGTGGAGAATGGGCTGGGTGCAGGCGAAGTCCACCAAATATTCCCTTATCTCGGTTCGTCCAGCCCTGGAGGAATTAATGTCAAGTTGTGTTATAGTACCGGAGGTGGATCCTTCAGCCTTGGGGATTAAACCTTCCCACCTTGATTATAAAAACAAAGTGGAAGGCCCTGAATTCACTTCCTCCCAGACATATGGAATATGTGCTACATATAGAGCAGCTCCTGCTAAAGAATTGGGGCCTAGCCCTAGCCGGTTTGACTCAATGGATAAAGCATTGGCCTGCAGACTGAAGGGCCTGGGGTTCAATTCCGGTCAAGAGCACATGCATTGTTTCAAGCTCAATCCCCAGTAGGGGGTGTTCAGGAGGCAGTCCATCAATGATTCTCGCTCATCATTCATGTTTCTCCCTTCCTCTGCCTTCCTCTCTGAAATCAATAAAAATATGTTTTTAAAAAGAGAGAAAACTGAGGGCCTATTGAACAGCTTCTGCACAACCCGTAGAGGGACCACGTACAGAAGGGTAGGAGAGATGGAGACATGGCAAAGAAGGGCATCCATCTCCCCACACGGAGGCCTGCAGCAGGGAGGGATATTACGAGGGCCTGTGCAAGGACTCGCCCACCCTGGGCACAGCAAAACTCATTTTAAAGGCACCTAGACTATATGTGGAGCAAATCCATTTAAAGCACATTTCTATACACAAATAACAATGTTTCAGAAAGAGAAAGAAAATCCTATTTATAGTTAGTTGCATCTAAAAAAGTAAAATACCTAGGAATAAATTTAAGGAGGTGAAAGACCTGTATTCTGAAAACAGACATCACTGAAAGAAATTGACGAAGATACAAATAATAGAAAGATATACCATACTCACAGATTGGAAGAATTAATATTATTTAAATGTTCATACTTACCCAAAGGAATAGCAGATTCGATGCAATCCCCATCAAATTACCAAGGGCATTTTTTACAGAACTACAACAAAGAATCCTAAAATTGGTATAAAAACCACAAAGACCCCAAATAACCAAAGCAATCTTAAAAAAGAAGAGGCATCATATTCCCTGATATCAAACTATACTACAAAGCTATAGTAATCAAAACAGCACCATCTTGGCACAAAAACAGACACAGAGACCAATACAGTGTTTCCCAAAGTGTGGTATGTGTACCCCCAGGGGTACGGGAAGAGTTTGGTGGGGGTACGCATTGCACCGGAGTTTGGTGGGGATATGCACTCACCGTGCTTAGCTGCGCCTAATTCTACGTTCTCGAGTACGAGGGGTACTCAGAGTTACGAAAATTATAGAAGGGGTACACATATGTCAAAAGTTTGGGAAACACTGGTCGACTAGAATAAGCTCACACATATACAGTCAATCTATAACAAAGGGGTTAAGAATATGCAATGGGTTAAAGACAGCTCTTCAATAAATGATGTTGAGGAAACTGGACAGCTACCTGCAAAAGAATGAAACTGGGCTACTGTCTTACACCACTTTGATTAAAGACTTGAATGTAAGACCTGAAACCATAAAACTAGAAGAAAACATGGGCCGTAAGCTCTTTGATATCAGTCTCAACATTTTCTTGGATATGTCATCTCGGACAAGGGCAACAAAACAAAAATAAACAAATGGAATTCCATCAAACTAAAAAGCTTTTTGCATAGCAAAGGAAACCAACGAAATGAAAGGGCAACCTACTGAACAAGAAGATATTTGCAAGTCATATCTGATAAGAGGTTAATAGCCAAAATATACAAAGAATTTATACATGTATAAGTAAGTATCAAGAAAAGTAAGCTTGTCCTAAATGGATTGGCTCAGTAGATAGAGCGTCGGCCTGCAGACTGAAGGGTTCCAGGTTCGGTTCCAGTCAAGGGCATGTACCTTGCTTGTGGGCACATCCCGGGGGAAAGGGGGAGGGGGAGTGCAGGAGGCAGGTGATCAATGTTTCTCTCTCATTGATATTTCTAACTCTCTATCCCTCTTCCTTTCTCTCTGTAAAAATCAATCAAATATTTTTTTTTTAAAGTAAAGCTACTTTATTAAAAAGTGGGTAGAGGACTTGAACAGACCTTTTTTCACAAAAAGGCATACAGATGGCCAACAGGCACATGAAAAGATGCTCAGCATCACTAATTACCAGGGAAATGCAGTTCAAAACCCCGAGATAGTACCTCACGCCTGTGAGAATGGCTGTCATTCAAAAGACAAAAAGTAGTAAGTGTTGTAAAGGATATGGAGAAAAGGGAACCCTCATACACTGGTGGCAATTTAAAATGATGAAGCCACTGTGCAAAACAGTATGGAGGTTCCTCAAAACATTAAAAATAGGACTATCATGTGATCCAGCAATTCTACCTGGTATTTATCCAAAGATGACAGAAACACTAATTTATGAGAAGATATATGCACCCCTGGGTTCATTGCAGCAGCATTTGCAATATGGAAGCAACCCAAATGTCCATTTGATAGGCAAATGGATAAAGATGTGGTACATATATACAATGGAATATTTCTCAGCCGTAATAAAGAATGAAATCGTGCCATTTTCAACAACCTTATGGATGGACCTATAAGGTGTATGCTAAGTGAAATAGAAAAAAGAAATATTGGATTATTTTATTTATATGAAATCTGAAAATAAATAAAACAGAAACAGACTCATTGGTATAGGTAACAAACTGGTGGTTACCAGAGCGGGGTCGTGGGCAGAGATTGGGCAGTAGGTGCCGTAGGTGAATGGGATTGAGAGGTACAAACTTCCAGGCGTAAAATAAATAAGTCATGAGGATGTGACGCATAGCACAGGGAATATAGTCAGTAATATTGTAATGACTGTAGAGTGACCTGTTGTGGGGATCATTTTGTAATGTACATAAATATCAAATCACTATGGTGTATTTCTTAAACGAATAGGATATTGTGTGACAGTTCTACATCCCTGGGAGGAAAGGAAGACAAGCGGGCCTGCGATTGCATCTTCATGCAGCAAGGATACAATTTTCCCACAATCACCCTCACCATGTGGCCTCCTGCAGGGCTGCTGAGCAGAAAGCCAGGGAGGGGAGACGCCTCCTTTCTGCAGGAGGCCCAAGCTTCCCTCAGGGGCCAGGACTTGCGGCAGAAAAAAACTGGTTCCCAAGAGGGTGGCATGAAGGGGGATTGACTGTGGCATGAAGGGGGACCCAAGGCCCGTGCTCTGCTTGGAGGAGCCGGGCCGTCCTTCCATGTCCTGGGAGCTCTTTCCCCTCTCCTCCCCTCCCATGCCTTCACTGGCCGGCTCAGCTGCCCTGTCTCCATCTCCCCTCCCAGTGTTGTTGGTCTGAGCTTTGACTTCGTCACCCTGAACCTTATGGGCTTCGTGGCCTACAGCGTGTTCAATGTCGGCCTCTTCTGGATACCACACATCAAGGTATGGCCCTGCCGCCCGCCGCAGCCCAGCCCGAGCAGTTCGTGGCCTGGCTGGCCCTCACTCAGTTTCACCACCCACCCTCACCCCCAACAGGAGCAGTTTTTCCTCCAACACCCGAACGGAGTGAACCCCGTGGAGATTAACGATGTCTTCTTCAGCCTGCACGCCGTGGCCCTCACCCTGGTTGTCCTGCTGCAGTGCCTCCTATATGAGGTGAGAGGTGGGGTGGCACCTGCCCCCTGAAGCTGCCAGGCAGCACCCACCACCGCCACCTGCTACCCACACCTGCTGTTTTACCACAGAGCCCCTCAGAAAGGGCACGTGTTTGATCACTCAGCATCTGATTGATTGTTGGGCCAGATAATAGGCCAGGCCCTGTGCTGGGCACAGGAACCACACCGCGAGCCCAAGATCTTGGCCCCTCCCCCCAGGTCTGGAGTGGGGGACAGAGAGAGGCATGATGGCCCAGCAGGCAGAGAGCTGAGGGGAGAGCATGGCCCAGCCAGCGAGGAGGGGGAAGGAGGGCATCAAGGAATTGGTGTCTAGTGTGGTTCGGGGGAGAGGAAAGTTCCTGTGGCCATGGGGAAGAGGGACAGGGGGGGCACCCCAGCTGGGGCACCCACTGAAGGCCAAGGGGCAATGAGAGCAGCCGTGAGCCGATGGAGGTAGCTGGGGTTCAGTGTGAGGAAGAGGCTCACAGGCCCCGAGAGGTCCTGAGGGCCATGTGTCTGGTCGCTGACGTGGCGTTTTCTTTCGCTTCCCCGTGGGTGCACCACTTCCCTCACGGAGTTCCCTTCACACACGCAAGGCCAGCCACGTGGCGTGGGCCCCGCCTTCCAGGTGTTCTTGCTCTTTGCTGTGGAGCTTGGGTGAAGGAGCCTTCTTTGGGGAAGGGTAGGGTGGGGACAGGTTCCAGAGTGATCAGGCTCCCTCTGCATCACGGAACAGGCCTGGGCTAGGATGGTGCTGGGTCCCATCCCCAACATCCTTCGCTCCTGGGGGGCTCTGAGAGGCCCCCAGTTCTGCATTGTGGAAACAAGAAGCAGTTGGGCTCTGGAAAGTCCAAGAAACACTGAACTAGAGGTCCCGAGAGTGACAAGAGCATTGCTGATGGTGGCAGCACTGCCCCCACCCATACCCACCTCCCACCCCTGTGCCCCTCTCGTCCCCAGTGCGGCGACCAGCGGGTGTCCTGGCCCGCCATCGGCTTCCTGGCACTCTCGTGGCTCTTCGTGCTTGTCATCTTGATTCTGGCCGCAACCGGGGTAACCACGTGGCTGAAGTTTCTCTTCTTCTTCTCCTACATCAAGCTCGCGGTGACACTGGTCAAGTATTTTCCACAGGTACCTCTGGGGCCTTCCTCACTTTCCAGGTGGCCATTGCGGGGAGGAGGGCGAGGACCAGGCATGGGAAGCCGCAGCGGAAGCCATGGGCCCAGCAGGACGGGACCAGGTGGAAGCTGGCCACACTGCCGCCTGCTCTTCCCTGGCGCCAAAATCTCACGAAGACTTCAGCGGAGTCTCTGAGCTCACAGCTCTGAGGGTCAGGTGATGCAGGTGTCCATCCCGATTTCCTAGTGTAGGGGTGTCGAACTCAATCAGAGAAGGGGCCAAAATCTAAAATCCAGCCTAAATCGCGGGCCGAATGGTTTACTGAACAGTCATAAACTGTCATTGTGATGGAAACGCAGCGGAGTGCAGTGATGACAGCGCGGTGCGGGCCACATTGCAAGGCCTGGCGGGACGGATTTGGCCCGTGGGCCTTGTGTTTGACACATGTGTCCTAGTGGCTTCAGTTCTGCTCTGTTACCACAGCCCACAGCCCTGAAAGATCAGGTGCGAGGAGGGAACCCACTACTGTGACCTCCATTGCCATCCAGGCCTTCCTTGTGGGCCCTCAGCAGCCTCCCTCGAGCACTCGGGCCTATGCAGACCCAGGGACAAGCATGCCTGCCCATTGCTGGAGTGGCCCGGGAGGGCATCGCTTATGACCTAAGTGCCAGCTGCAGACTCCATTTATGAGTGTAGTCCTCGTTCTCACCTCGCTCTCTGTGGAGAAGCCCTTTTTCAGCTTCCCCAGCACAGGGAACTTCATGCCCTGGGCTCAGAAAAGAGAACGTTTTGGCCAGAGTCAAGGCCAGTCTCCTCAGGGGCCTGGAAGCAGAGCCAGACCTGAAGGATAAACAAGACTCGGTTCTGTGGACACGAGAGGAGGGGAATTCCAGGCTGGGGGCCGCTTACGCAGGGCGCAGGCAGAAAAGTGAAAATGCAGCAAGGACACCTGGCTGGCCGAGGAGGGTGGAGCTAAAGGAAGGTGGGGCCAGGAGCTTGGGAAGAAGGCTTTGGGGTGGGGGCAGGTCTTGAGGGAAGTGGGGCCCCGGTCCCTGAATGTGGGATAGCTTGGGGATGGGAAACCTATGAGGCAGGAGTCCCAATTTGGAGACTGTCCAAGACTGGAGAGGTGGCAGCAAATATGGAGAGGAGGGGAGAGGACAAAAAAGGGGACCTGGCTGATGGCTGGCTGGGAGAAGGCCCCTCCAGAGGCCTAGCCAGAGGAACCCAGAGGGTGCTGGCGCTGGAGGGAGGAGGCGTGGCACTGGCAGCAGGAGGAAGGGGTGTCCAGTAGGTCTACCCCGCTAGACCTGGGAAGCCTGAGACAGAGACCCCGGCGCCCAAACAGGGCTGAGGCGGGAGGTAAGCCGTCTGCAGCGGAAGAAAGTTAGGCTAGAACGCCCAGGGCACCGGGCGCCAGTGGTGGGGCTGGTGGTCCAGACCAGGTGTTTCTCCCAGCCCGGGTCGCAAGCACTGCACAAAGTCCAGGCTGAGTGCGAGTCCTCCTGGGAGATGAGGAGGAAAACCCGAGTGGCTGGAAAACCACGAGAGGGCTTGTCCTGGAGCAGGGCAGGAGGAAGAAGATGGAGAAGCAGTATGGCAGCCTCCTCCATCAGGGTTGTGTGATGCAGGGAGGGGAGGCAGAGGGCCCTGTTCACTGTGTGCGCGGACGAGACCCCAGGACCACCCAAGCTGTTCTCCGCCAACTCGTCAGAGCCCAGAGGTCACCGTGCTCTTTGGAGCCGAGGCCGGAGCACGGGAGTGGGAGGAATTAGAACCGCTCTTGTTTGGAGCGGCGGTCACGAGGCGCCTGAGGCAGCCACCCAGCCCCCTCACCGCCCTCCATGTCTCTGTCTGGCTGCCCAGGCCTACATGAACTTTGCCTACAAAAGCACCGAGGGCTGGAGCATTGGCAACGTGCTCCTGGACTTCACTGGGGGCTGCTTCAGCCTCCTGCAGATGTTCCTCCAGTCCTACAACAATGGTGAGTCTGTCAGCGGTGGGCCGGACTAGCCCCACCCCCCACGCTCGCCCCGCAGCTTGGGTATCCAAGCAGTGCCAGCCCTAGATCCCCCAGGGGCATCTGCAAGGGCAGGGATGGTGGTTTCCTGGACAGGTGAGGACCCCCCACCCTCCACAACCCCAGGAGCTGCCAACTTAAAACCAGATTCTGTCCCCTCTGGCTGTTAACAGACCATTGGACACTGATCTTTGGAGACCCAACCAAGTTTGGACTCGGCATCTTCTCCATCTTCTTCGACATCGTCTTCTTCATCCAGCACTTCTGCTTGTACAGAAAGAAGCCCGGGTATGAGCAGGTGAACTAGCACCCAGGGCCCCAGGGTCAGTGGCCCGGGCCCTGTGCCCAATCAGGAGGCCGGAGAGCGATCTGGAGTGCAGGGCTGGCTCGGTGTGCAACATCAGAGAAGCGTTCTCTTCCTCGGGGCCAAACGCCTTAAACAGGAACCAGCCTGCCTTCGTCCAGGACTTTCCAGGGCCCGGGAGAAGCCTCCCACTGAGACAGACCCTGACTCTGCTCCGAGATTAAAAAGCTGACTGCTCTCGGCCCCTCTCGGGTCTGGCTGGCCAGTCATCTGGCCCCCCTGCAACTTGATGCTGCCATTTCTATTTTCTTTAAGGCTTCAGGCAGCACCCACAGGTTCTGACAGCCATGCCATGCAGGACTGGACGTGGAGCTGGGAGCAGGCCTTGCCTCGAGCAATCAGTGTTTCTGGGAGCAGCTTGAAGGACTGACTGACCTTGCAGCTTTGGTGCCACTGCTGTTCCCAGAAACCAAGCAGCCAGGTGCTGTGGCCAGTGGACTGAGGGGTGCTGGTGGCAGAGGGGCTAGGACTTTGGGATTAGGCCTTGGGGTCCCCTCTCTGAGTCTGAACACTCCCCTTCCTGACACTTATTCTACAAAACCTGACCTCCATGACTGCAGGCACAGGTGGCCCAGGCCAGCGCCTAGTAAAGAAGCAGTATTTCTGGGTCTTGAGGTGCCCAACAGATTGGTTCTGAACTGGGCTCACTCCCAACACCCTGTGGCTCTCTATCACACTAACCCCCCTTTTGGGTTTTGTTGGAAGGTGTTTTGGAAGTGAGTGGCTGTCTGCCTGCCTATCTCCACTTTCCAGTCAAGGGCCCACGTGACACCCTTAGCTGCTCCTTACCCTGTGCCTGGATACAGGATACACACACTCACTCACTCGTGCCTTAGAGGCCTGTTGGACCAGCTCCGCTGGAGGGCAGGCCTGCCTTCTCTCACATCCCCCAGACCTGAGACTCGCCAATTTTGGGCCGTTCTGTAGCCTCAGAGAAGGACTGAGACCACCTCACGTAAGACCCACAGGCCAACTCTGATCCCAAAACCCCTTCCCTCCTAACTCAACCAGTGGACACCAGATGGCAGCCTCTGGAAACGTGCCTTGTACATGCCTGGAGATTATCTATCCACTCTCCCAACTTTTTACTACCAGTTCAATGAGGGGCCTGTATCCTGGATTAAAACCTGTTTCCTTCTGTGTGAGGAGCATTTGCCAGATGCAGGAGGCAGGTGTGTTGCCTTCAGAACCAAGTCCTGGGGGCTTGGGGAGATGGCCCCCAAGGTGACTGCGTGCCGACCTGGCTCTTCATCAGGGGACCCTGCTTGGGTAGTGCAAGATGCCTGCTTGTCAGGACCAGGTAGGTCCCACAGGTCCCGCGCCTGCATTCCCAAGGGCAGGCCACCACTGGGAGCAGAGGGATGTCTGATCTTTCCAGATTCTTCATCAGTCCAGGGGTAAAAATACCAGTTTAGGCTCTTGTCTCCCCAAAGCAGATTGCAGCCTGACCAAGTATGCATACCTGCTGGGCCACCCACCCGGTATGTTACCAGGTGCCACACTTTAAAAGTGGGAGATTCCAAGTGAGTGGCAGCAATCCCCAGAGCTGGTGGTGCAGCCCATGGTGAGCCAGCCAGAGGCCTGGAAGGTTCCAGTCACCCCACTTTGTCAGATGGCAGCCTCTGGAAACATTTGGGGTTGCATCCCTGGCTGTGATCACTGAGTGCTCTCAGGGGCCTTAGTGGGAGGGTATTTTTCCCATGAACCCCTTGGTCTCCACGAGGCTCCTCCTGGGCAGGGACTGAGACCAGATTCACAAGAGAAGGTGGGTGTAGCCAGGCCAAGCACATGTCCCGTGGGCCTAGGCGCAGTGAGGCTTTTTCCCAGAGCAGCCAGGGCCAGGTCAGCCAGCCTGAAAAAGCTGTCCCCGTAATCCACCCCCAAGGACCCCCGCCCTGCACCTCAGCAAAGACCCCCGTGAGTCCCAGCACTGTTTATTGGGCACAAGATGGGGGATGGGGGGAACCTAGGAGAGGGGGCTTCATACTGCCCCATTTCCACAGTAACAAAACCAAAATAAGGTTTTCAGATTTGCTAAGAGTCATTCCCAGATTGAATTAGTTAAATTCAAAGTAGAATTGGCATCTCCAAATAGTAAGATAAAAACCCTTTGTATCAAAGTGATTTTCAAAAAGTACAAAAGTTAAATGCACAGGCATAGAGATTTTCAATCCTGAAAATTGCCCTCAAAAGTCAGCCTCAAATCTTGCCTAAATCTTGTAAGCTGGTGAACCCTGGAAGGCTAGCATCCCTCGGAGGAGTGGGGGAGCGATGGGTGAACTGAGCCTGCTGACTTCCATCCGGGCTTCTGCCTCTGGAAGTGTCCAGTCCCCTCTGAGCAACGGGAACGCGTGGGACACAGGCACTTTGGAGCTGAGACAGAGGGCAGGGCTGGCCCACCAGGCATGGTTCTGCTTTGTGCCGCTCAGGGAGTGGGGACCCTGCTCACCTGGGCATGGCTGAGACCAGGCAGCAAGGTCTGGGGGCTGAGCTTGTGGTCACTACAGACTGACTACAACTCAGCTCCAGGCCATTGTTTCCAGTCCTCGGTGTCCAAGGGAGGGCTAGTCCCAGAGCCTCAGGCCACGGGTGAGAGGGGAAGGCAGGCCAGGCAGGCCTCTGGGACCAGCTCTTGCCCGTCTGAGTGGGGGCCCAGCACTCGGCAGAAGCCAGGACGGGGGGGCAGATGTGGAAGTAGTGTCACTGTACAAAGAGGCGCAGGCTCGACTCGGGACCTCGGCGGGATGCTAGGACAGCATGGACTGGTGCACGGCCTTCTGCAGCGACTGCCGCGTCACCAGCAGGCGCACCACCTCCTCCGAGCGCTTGGTGAGCCGCTTCCGGGCCTGATCGTGTGTGACCATGGTCATGTCCCAGCCGTTCACCTGACCCAGAGAGAAAATACAGCCACCTGAGCTCCCCAGCCCCTGGGATCTGGAAGTAGGATGGGCTTTGGGGAGCTGGGCTACCCAAACAGGCCCCAAGCGGATGGCCCCTGGACAGGGGGTGCCAAGCACCAGTTACCACACAGAGAAGAGAGCCAGCTTCCTCTGGGGGCAAGGCCAGCGTGGGCTCCAAAACGGCTGGGGTGAGTCCCAGGAGGCAGGGGCCGCCTCAGCCCCACTCCCCAATGCTTCAGCCTCTCCAACCCAAGCCTGTCTCCCTCCTTTGGGACTTCCGTTACCTGCATGATCTTGTCTCCAATCTGTAGCCCAGCAATTTCAGCGGGGCCTCCTTCCGATACCCGTGTGACATAGATGCCCTGGAAACAGACAGCCCACGTCAAGCCCTGGGTTCACCGGGCTGGCCCCTTATCCACAGAGCAAAGTCCAGTAAAGCACACGCCCAGCTGCCCGTCTGTCTATCCCTGCACTGAGCCACCCTCCAGCCTCCACCCTCAGGCGCAGGACAGCCAAGGAGACAGCTGGCTGCCCCAGGGATGCTCCAGCCCCTGCTGCTCCTGGGCTCTGTCTACACAGCCCTTCCTAGGGCTGGGCAGCCCACACTCCTCACCCTCCCACCCACCCCCATTTATTCCCACCAGATCGTTTCTTAGATCTTAGAGGGGACTGCTGGCGAGAGATTAGGTCTGCTCCTTCCGCAAAGGCCCAGGAAGCAGAGACCACCATCTCTGCTGCACGGAGAGGCCCCAGGACTCTGGTCCTCACCTTATCCGTCTTATCTTCTGAGAAAGGATTCTGGGAGGGATCCTGGTCAATTCCACCTCCAATGCTGAAGCCCAGGATTAAATTCTCGCCTTGACGCAGCTTATGAATTTCAACTCTTTGCTGGCAAAGAAGAGAGTGAGTTGGGGGTGAGTAGAGCATAAATCTGGTCTGTATCTCCTGTAGCCGCCCCAGGTTGCTGGAACAGCTCGGCCATGCCAAGAGGGTGGAGACCAGGGCGGAAATCTGCAGAAATCCAGCTGGTCACCAACCTGGGAGCCACATCAATTCACCTGCACAACATTCTGTCCCAACCTCTCTCCACTTCCTCTGTCTCAGGCATCAGCCTCAGTCAACAGGTGCTCTAAGCCCCCGTTGCTATGGTCACTATGGATGGGGGGCTATATCCCAGGGAGGGATCACTCAGGGCAGAAGGGGTCAGGCCCTAGAAAGACTGCAGGCAGACTGCCGAGCCAGCCCAGGTAAGGGCAAGACAGAAGATGCTCAGGAAAAGCGGAGATCACACAGAAAGGAGAGGAGGGGCTGTCCTGGCTGAGGGAATAGGAACAGAGCCTTGAGGATGCCATACCTAAAGGTCCACGAAACCAGGGTGTATAGCACAGAACCGGAACTGGGAGGTGAGATGAGGCTAAGAGGCTGGGGCCAGACAGGAAGGCCCTGGAGACTGGGCCCCAGCGAGGGGTCTTTTCCCTAAGCCCCAGGCCCTGCTCTTGTGCAGTGGAGGAGGTGGAGGAGAGGCCTAGGGTTCTCCTTCCATATCTGGGGCTGTGATCCCCAACTGTGCCGGGCTCTTTTCAAAGCCCTCAGCTGACATGCTCCAGTCACCAAATACTGGGCATCAGATCAGATCACCCCCCTCCAAAAGGTGACTTGATCTGGACCTAAATGACATCAGCAGACCTGAGGGCTGTTCATAGCACAGAGGAGTCAAGGGGCGCACCTGGCCACCTGGCCTGGCTGAATACAGCCACCTCATGTTGAGTTTTGAGTGCCAGGAGCCATTCAGGCAAATATCCAGAAGGCAGATGGGCCTAGGGAGCCAGAGTTCCAAGGGGCCAAAATGGTTTCAATATTCTCAAGATGTTAACTACACCCAGCCAGTGGCTCAGGGGCTGAGCATCGACCTATGAACCAGGAGGTCAGGGTCCGATTCCTGGTCAGGGCACATGCCTGGGTTGTGGGCTCGATCCCCAGTGTGGGGCATGCGGGAGGCAGCCGATCAAGAATTCTCTCATCATTGATGTTCCTATCTAGCTCTCCCTCTTCCTTTCTCTCTGAAATCAATAAAAACATACTTTTTAAAAAAGATAACTACATGGAAGATGACAAGGGCCAGGGGGGAAGCCTCTCCCACCCATCCCTAGTCAAATACACGGGAGAGGCCAAACTCCACCCACCATATTCAGACATGTGTTAGAAGAATTGGGAGGTCATGGTCCTACAGCTTCGAGGAAGGCCCAGGGACCAGCCATGACATGTTAGAGGGGGAACAAGAAGCATAATCCCTGAGGCCCACCAGGCCTAGATCCTCATGCCCTAGACTAGGGGTGTCGAACTCAATCAGAGAAGGGGCCAAAATCTAAAATCCAGCCTAAATTGCGGGCCGAATGGTTTACTGAACAGTCATAAACTGTCATTGTGATGGAAACGCAGCGGAGTGCAGTGATGACAGCGCGGTGCGGGCCACATTGCAAGGCCTGGCGGGACAGATTTGGCCCGCGGGCCTTGTGTTTGACACATGTGCCCTAGACCCTCCAGGCCTGACCCACCTTCAAAGTCAAAAAAAGAAAAGAAAAAGCGCAGGGCCTTGGGCTGGGAGACAGGCCCTGTCACTGACTTGGGTGAAATCAGGGCGGTTACTGCTCCCTCTCTGGCTCCCTGCCTGCACCCCCCCCCTCCTTTTTTTTTTTTTTTCCAGGTAAGGAGCAAGCCTGGCCCCCCCTCCTCTCTGGGCAGGGAGGGATCTGGAAGTCAGGCTGGTGTAGCAGGCTGAAGGTTAGCACAGCTCAGCAAGCCCAGCAATGTTTCCTCCTAGCCCAGGCCTGGGCTGCTGCTCTGTGTTCACCTTATCAGTGACTTCACACCACACCACCTGACTCCCAGCACACCCATCTGAGATCATGACCCCAGAGCTGGGACTTCCACCTGACCCAATGCCTGCCCAGCAGGCACTTCTTCTCGGGGATCTGGATCCTTCCTGAGGGCTTCTTTATGTGGCTGCCCATGGCCAGACCTCACGGGGACTCCCTTTCCCACCTCCAGGCCTCCAGGTCCCATCCAGCTGTGGCACCTCTAGGTCTAATGTCCCAGCCTCCCTCCCTTCCTTTGCTCTAATTGCACCCGACACCCAAGACAAGCCAGGGGGAGGGGAGTAATGGGGGTCCTGGTGCCTGAGCTGACCCCAAAGGGTCTCTCAGGCCCCAAGTGCCAGGCCGGAGGACCTGGACTTTGCCCCCAGGGCTGGGGATCCAGAGAAAGTTCCGAGCGGGACCACGCCAGTTGTAGGAGCCTTCACTCCGGACTGGGCGGTGGTGAGTCCGAGGAAGCAAAATCGGACGTAAGGAGGGGTCAGGGGCGGCGGCGCCCACTGGAGTGGAGGAAGCACTTCCTCATTCCAGAGGCTGCGACTCACGGATGTCCAGACCGGCGCCCGCCCCCCCCGCAGCTACCCAGCCGAGATCACAGGTCCGGGAAGGCCCTGGGTGCTTTACTAGATCCCCACAACCCGGCCTTTCTCCTCAGTCCTCCGCCCCGGCCGGCTGAAACGAGGTCCAACGCAGCGGCGGGCAGGGACTGGCCAGGTCCAGGATCTGAGGCTCCTGGGTCCCAGCCTTTCCGGTTATGGCTGGGAGCCCTGGGTTCGACGCTTTGCCAACCTGTGTGGGGTATCAGTTTACCGCTCTGCAAAGTGGGAGCAAGCCAAGAGGAAGAGGAGCCGCCGCGAGAACACTCACCACCACGGCCGTGACGGGCTGGCCCGGGATGTAGGACATCTTGACCCCAATCTGGGAGCCAGGAACCGCTCAGCGAAGCCCGCAGCGAAAACCCCGGCGACCGCGCCCTCTCCGGTTAACAAAGGCCGCCGGGCTCGGCCTGCCCCCTCATGAATAGTTAACAAGTCTCCAGCCAATCACCCGCCGGGTCGCTGCTGCGCTTTCGGAAGTCCCGGTGGGTGAGTAGTAAAGCGGGGAGGAGGTGGAGCGTGCTCGGGCGCCCCGCTGCGCATGCGCCAGAGGGCGGGAGCGCGGTCCTGACGCATGCGCAGTCCGGGCCCTCCCAGCAGGCTCCAGGGCAAGATGGCGCCGCAGGGGACCGTACCGCCGACTGTCTGAGGACACGCCGAGGGACTGCCACCGTGTTCCAGGTAAGCGGGCGAGCCCGGGCGGGGAATGCGGACGTGCTGCGGCTCCCCGAACCCCGGCTGGAAAGGTGAAGCCCCCGGGGGGGGGGGGGAGGGGAGAGGAGCGGCGTGAACCCAACTCGCCGGGCGCCACTGGCACCTTGGTTTTCTCCGCAGCTCCGCGGGAAAGCAGAGGCCGAGTCCCCAGCGGGTGCGATGGCCGCGGTGGTGGCCAAGCGGGAAGGGCCGCCGTTCATTAGCGAGGCGGCCGTGCGAGGCAACGCCGCGGTCCTGGATTACTGCCGGACCTCGGTGTCGGCGCTGTCGGGGGCCACGGCCGGCATCCTCGGCCTCACCGGCCTCTACGGCTTCATCTTCTACCTGCTGGCCTCCATCCTGCTCTCCCTGCTCCTGATCCTCAAGGCGGGCAGGAGGTGGAACAAATACTTTAAGTCACGGAGACCTCTCTTTACCGGAGGCCTCATCGGAGGCCTCTTCACCTACGTCCTGTTCTGGACGTTCCTCTACGGCATGGTGCACGTCTACTGAAACGCGGCGGGGTCACTTTTTTTAGAAAACCAGACGGGGAAGACCGTTGCCAGGCAGGAACAACGTGTAGACTTAACTTAGTTTTTAAATTGCTGGATTCACTGCTTGTTCTGTAACGTTATAACTTATGCCAGAAGACGGAGAGCCTGTAATATTCTTCAGATTAAATGAAGCGTGAGACACTTGACGGAGTTTTTCCTGCTTTAACGCGTCCTCCCCGACCTCGTCCTCCCGACTCCGCGCCGCCCCCCTTCCACCCCCCGTCTGTGGTAGGTGCAAAATCGCCAAGTTTTGATGACTCCTGGAGAGCTGGGAGTGAGGCTTGGCCTTCGGTAATTTCCTTGTGTTGACACTGGGGCCTATCAACGGAGAGAACTTGTTAGCACCTGTGGAACTAGGAACAGTTGATGTTTATTGTGTGCCCTATATACTGGGCACTATGCCGCGTGTGTTTCACACCCATTATCTCATTTGATTCTAGCAATATCCTTATGGAATAGATGTGATCATTGTCCCCATTGATGAACCTAAGGCTCCAGAGGAGGCACAGCTCGGAAAGGTCAGAGCCTGGATTCACATGTAGGTCTCTTCTTCCTCCTTCCCACCGCCCCCCCCAATATATTTTTCTTGACTTCAGAGAGAGGGAGAGAGAGAGAAATATCAGTGATGAGAGAGAATCATTGATTGGCTGCTTTCTACATGCTTCCTACTGGGGTTCCAGCCACATCTGGGCATGTGACCTCCTGGTTCGTAGGTGCACTCTCAACCCCTGAGCCACGCCAGCTGGGCCACGTGTAGGTCTCTTAATTGCTCTTGCTGTGTTGGCTGAGTGGACCTTTGCAGAGCTCCTCTTTCCCTTCCACTAACCACTGCTTTCAGGTGTGAGTGGTGTCCTATCAGTTCCATTTCACCTAGTTACAGCTGGCTGTCATTTCCATTTCAAAAACTCAAGCTGTCTTCTAAAATAATCCATGGGCTTGCCTAGGTGGTCAGTGCCTCTGTCTATATGCTAATCTGTGATTGCTTATCAGGAGGGTTATCTTATAATAAAATTCATATCTTAATTGAGGAATAAATGTTGCGTTAAAGTTATAGTAGTGAACACGTTGCTCATGGAATTTATAGTCTTACCTGGGAAGACCAGCATTACCTAATTTCACAGATGTTTAAATTGTGGTAAGTGCTATGAAGAGTACATAGGAACTCCAAACTGAACCCAGGTTGGGAGGTGAGGGGTCCAGAAAGTCTTCTTTGAGGAAATAAACATTAGAGAACCGAAGGCTGAAAAACAACCAAGTCAAGTGTGGAGAAGGGGTACTTGGAAGAAAGCCAAGTACTCAAATTGGGCAGGAAGGAGTTTGGCCTGTATCTGAGGGGAGAGAGAAGCTACGAGATAGATCTGGACCAGAATCAATTTTAGATTCCCCTGACAGAAGGAAAATAGATTGAATCCAAGTCCCCTTTTGCAGACAGTATTGCGCCATGGCCAATAATGGAAATGGGTCTGGGACCCAGACTGCCTGAATCCCATTTCGGGTCCTGGGCTACATGCTTGCACAGGAAGCCAAGAAGCTGAGGCCACAGCTTCGCCTCCCTCTCCCCCAGTGCTTCCTCTGAACCCACTCTGTCCACCACTGAAGATACTCGCTTTAATGGTTTGCATCCCCAATCCTCTCAGGGCCTTTTTGAGTGGGAAGGGGGAGTTCATTCCTGAAGCAGTGGGTCCTTGGAGGAGTAGGGAGAAGAAGGTAAATGAGCTGATTTACCTAACCATTCCTCTGTCATTAGGCAGTAAAGTTGTTTGAAATGTTCATTATTATAAAAGTACTGCAATGAATGTCTACATATCTATATTGTTTTGAGAATTTAATAGGCTGGAACAGAAGATTAAAACTTAATTTCAAATGCTTTCCAGAGTATTACCAGATTACTCATTGAATGAAAAGTGCCAGTTTTATCAGTGCCTTCTTAGTTTTATTTAATCTTTATTGTTCAGATTATTACAGTTTTCCTTTTTCTCCCCCATAGCTCCCATCCGTCCGGTTCCCACCCCACCCTATGCCCTTACCTCCCCCCCATTGTCTTCAACCGTAGGTGTACGATTTATTCCAGTCTCTTCCTGCACCCCAAACACCCCTTTCTCCCTGATAATTATCAACCCACTCTCTTTCCTTGCCCCTCATTATATTGTATTCACCAGTTTATTCTGTTCTTCAGATTTTTAATTCACTTGATTTTTAGATTCACTTGTTATAGATATGTATTTGTTGTTCATAATTTTTATCTTTACTTTTTTCTTCTTCCTCTTCTTAAAGAATATACCTTTCAACATGTCATATAATACTGGTTTGGTGGTGATGAACTCCTTTAGCTTTTTCTTATCTGTGAAGCTCTTTATCTGATCTTCCATTGCTGGGTAATCTTGGTTATAGGTTCTTGCTATTCATCACTTGGAATATTTCTTGCCACTCTCGTCTGGCCTGCATAGTTTCTGTTGAGAAACCAGCTGACAATCGTATGGGTGCTCCCTTGTAGGTAATTAACTGTTTTTCTCTTGATGCTTTTAATATTCTCTGTCTTCTGGCATTTTCATTATGATGTGTCTTGGTGTGGTCCTCTTTGGATTCCTTTTGTTTGGGATTCTGTGCACTTCCTGGACTTGTAAGTCTATTATTTTCACCAAGTGGGGGAAGTTTTCTGTCACTATTTCTTCAAATAGGTTTTCAGTATCTTGCTCGCTCTCTTCTTCTGGCACCCCCCCCATAATTTTGATGTTGTTCTTACATTATCTTCAACTTTTTGGATTCTTTTTTTTTTCTTTTTTCTTTTTTTCTTTTCTAGTTGAGTGTTTTTTGCTTCTTTGTTCTCCTCCATTTCTTTCATTTGTGGTCCGTTTCTTTGACTCCGCATTTTCACTGCTTCCCTGAGTTGGTAGGGTAGCTTTGTGTGCTAGGTGTCCTATATGGTCCAGTGGGTCAGACTCCCAGTTACCTGAGGGTGGACACTCTTGGTGCTCCCCTTTGTGGACAGCCTTGTTGTAATTCTTTTTTTTTTTTTTTTTTTTTTTTGTAATTAAGTCTTGATTGTTGTTGGTATCACTGGGAGGAATAGACCTCTAGGCCAATTGAATGTGAGTATCAGCTGTGTCTACATCAGGATATCTTCTGAATTGGAGATAGCCTTATAGGACCAGACTTGCAAAAATTGCAAAAGCCTCAGTGCTCAGTTTGGATGGGGCGGAGTTTCAAGGCTGAGCAGACAGTGTCAGCTTCCCATCTGCCCTGCCCTTGCATACTTGCCTCCAAACCTCTGCCTTGCGTGGCTCCCCTGAGTTTCTGCCTGACAGTCCAGGTTTCCCCTGAAAGAGAGTGAGTCCCCTAGGGGCTCGCCTGGAACTGGGATTCAGTGCAGTCAGGAGCTTCCAACTCCTTCCACTATGGAAAGCCTGTGGCAACCTTCGCAGTCAGACCTCTCTGCATGCTCTCTCGCGCACACACACCTGCTGCGGCTCCCCCGAGTCTCCAAGTGTCTTTCTCTACAGTCCAGACTCCACGCATATGAGCCTGGGTTTGCGGGGTTTTGGCCAGGGTTGGGGTTCAGTGCAGTCGGAACTGGGGTTCAGTGCAGTTGGGGGCTTCCTTTCCCCTCCCGCCAGCCAGGCACTCAGCTGCCCTTCCCCTCTGTGTGTACATCTCTGTACCTCAGCACTTTGTGGCTCCTTCTAGTTGTAGAATTTCTACTCGGCCAGCTTTCCTGTGCTTCTGGATGATGTCCGTTCTGTCTTTTAGTTGTTGTTTTGAAATTGTTGTGCAAGGCAGCAGTTTAGGTGCTTACCTAGGCCACCATCTTTGTTTCTCAACCTTTTTAGTCTTAATGTTTGCTCATTTAAAGAGTTTCCTTTCATTTTAATTTCTTTGCAAGATAATAAGGAATGTAATATATTGTCCACTAATGATTTCTGTGTCTGCCTCTTTTGGGCTCATTTTCTCCTTACATTTTAATCTAAAACATGGTGACCATGAAGACAGGAAGGGAGAAAAATCATGACACATCTAAAGTTAACCTTTGTGTTGTTTTATAACCAAATAAAAATGTCAGAGAACATGGACTCTGGGCAGTCCCAGAAAATGTGCCAGCTCCCTCCCCCTTCCTTTGATTCTGTGGACCGGCCTTAGGGGAAACACACAACTAGAAGAAAGGTGTACCTTTTGGGGAGAGCGTTGTGTGTCCACTGGACAGTATGCTGCGAGGAAAGGTGCATCACTTGGTGCAGGGGGTGGATTGGAACCAAGTAGGGCCCTTTTCCAGATACACAAGGTGCCATTCCCAGTGGAATGACTTAGACTCTGGAGTCTAAGAGCACTCTAGTCCTTAACTGGTGCTTCGAGGCTCCTGGAGGAAGTCACATTTCCCCTTTACAGCTGGTTCCCCAGTTTTCAATCAGCCATTAAGAAGAAAGAACTGAGGAGGTGGCAGGAAAAAAGGCAGCTGTGATTGGTCAGTCCTAATGACCCTGCATCAGGAGTGGAGTGCATGGGGCTCTTTCCTGGCTGGTCCCTGTGATATCATATTGATGGCACGCAGTTTACAAATGTAGTTTTGAGCTGCAGCATGGTACTCTGGAGGCAATGAGTAAAAACAGAAGCAACGGGGGACTGTGCAAAAGCAAGGGAATTTGGTACAATGTGCTACTATCCAGTGCTGTGGTGGGTTACTGGCTTTCCTGAGCATGGTGTCCCTGGCAGTAGTAAGAAGGCCACCTAGACAGCTTTTCTGGAGTTGAAGAAATTATTAGGTTAAGTCCTCTATGGCTGTCTAGGTGGCCTTCTTACTACTTAATGGGGCAAGGCTTAAAGTAAGTTGAAAAGAAAGCCTCACAGCTCCAGTCACAGTCTTCATCCAGGTCCTTGGTTGCTCCTCATGTCAAGGTTCTCTTTTAAGTGTGATTCCCTTACTGGAATGCTTCCTCAGTCACCTATTTAGACTGCTACTAACCATTCAGATTTGAGCTAATACCTCGCTTTCTTGGGGAAACTCTGGCTACTCCACTGAAAACTCAGTTCAGTCTGTGATGTGTGTGACTACCAGTTATTAAAGTTTAGCGCCCAGGCCAAAACCGGTTTGGCTCAATGGATAGAGCCTCGGCCTGCGGACTGAAAGGTTGGTCCCAGGTTCGATTCCGGTCAAGGGCATGTACCGTGGTTGTGGGCACATCCCCAGTAGGGGGTGTTCAGGAGACAGCTAATCGATGATTCTCTCTCATCGTTGTTTCTAACTCTGTTCCTCTCTTCCTCTCTGTAAAAACTCAATAAAAAATATTTTTTAAAAAGTAAATAAAAATAAAGTTTAGCGCACAGGGCTGGAAACACTCCAGCAGGGACTCTTTGTTGCTTGCCACTGTGTCGCTAGCATTTAATCCAACACTTGACACAGTAGGTATTTAATAAATATTTACTGACTGAATAATGTAGGAAGACATTTCATTCCAATATAAAATAAACAGTACAACTGTTCCTGTGATTTATGGCTCCTGCCAGGCAATTCCAAAAATAGGTTAAGAGAAACCAGATCAACTCTGAGCAGCCATGCCCCTGCCCTTGTTACTTCCTGCCAAACATAAGAGGCTAGATTGTCCACTCTTAAGAGTTGGCTTTAGTGATTAAGTGAAACATCATAATGGATCGCCCTGGTTTTTCACTTTCTATTCAGAGAGCAGGTGGGCTGTTGACTGGTTAGCAGGCAGCCCAAGGCGAGGGAGCTGCTTGTTCCAAAGGGGTTCCTGTTCTGGGGACCACAGCCTTCGGCCCTGGTGGCGGAGCCTTCCAGACCCCTCTGACCCTCTCCCAAGGCCTCAGGGGAAGGATGCTCACCCCTCTGCGTGCAGAGAACCAGGCTCCCCTGACTCCGGGGAGGTCGAGAGCGCACTTCCAGAGAGGGAGCTCCCCGGGGTCCTGGCGGCTGTGCATCGGGCACTGCGGGCCTTTACTGCCGTAGTTCAGAGTTCTAGGCCATTCCATCGTGCCCCTCTCTGACAGGCGTCAGGTCTGATGTTGCAGGCATGAGGAAAAGTTCACGTCCTGAGTAACAAGTGGACTCGTTTGAAAACGAAGGAGCCTCTCGGAATTGGTGACACAGGCTGCCTCGAGAACAGGTGGGAGGAAAGCTTTTGCTGTCTATTCTTTTGTACCTTTAAAATTTTGAATCCTATAAGTGTTGCCTTGTTAAAATATTCTGAGTGTAATGCTCCTTTCCCTGGGGCCGGAAGGGGGTCCTATGGTGTCAAGGGAGAAGGTGTGTACTAGTAAGTCTGGCCTGGAAATTGGCGACACCCACCAAGCTGGCTCTTTTCTCCCTCAGAATCAGGCTTTGCAGAGCTCCTCACCCGGGCAGGGCTTCTCGGAGTGTAAGGAGCCCCTGAGCCCCACTGCCACGCCAGCCCTGATTTAGGAGAAGGAAGAGCTAACAAGCTCCCGGGTGATGCCAAGGCTGCTGGTCCGGGGACCACAGCTTGAGGAGAGTTCTACAGACAGTGAGGGAGGGAGCAGCGGGGTGGGGTGGGAAGGAGGGTGAGGGCCTCCCTAACAACTGTTCCTACCTGCTGAGGGAGCACCCTGTCCTTAGCCCTTCAGACCCAGCCAGCCTTTGAGGAGAGGGGGAGGGGAGCTGGTTAAGGACAACCAACCCCACCAAATAGCAAGAGCCAAAAAAAGGCAGTGTCTCCCATCTGGGCAAGTTGCTATCCCGGAGCCTCCCCAGGCTGGGCAGGTCAGACTGGTGGGAGGCCTCCCTGCCCTCTCTGTGAAAGTCAGCTGGAGGCTGGAGGAGGGCCAGATGGCTGAGCCTGGCTCTGAGTCTGTAGTCTCCAGAGGAAATTACACGGTGCTCCACTCCCTGAGGGCCAGTTCAGCATCTCATTTAAGCATGTCTTCGATAGGGCCCAGCCCACAGCAAAAAATGTTTACTGCATGTATGAATGTGTGAATATCCAACTAGGCTCTCAGACAACATGGAAACACTTGGTATCATTTACACCCCGGCCTGCCCCTTCCTTCTCTAGCATCTCTCCTCCCAGCCCTGAGCTCTGACACTGGGAGGCTCCCCTCCCCCACACACAACAAAAAGCTTGTAGCAAGATCCCAAAGTGCAGGAGGTGGGGTGGTGGCGCCTGAAGCCCCAATCCATGCAGACACAGGCTCTTCCCTCTTCCCGTTCAGAGCTGCAGCCGTCTTCACCAAATCTGCTCTCAGCCGCCTCTGGCTACGCCTCCACCGTCTGCAGGTTCTGCAGCTGCTCCGAGGTCACCTTTCCGTTCCCCGGGTGGCCAGACCTGTGTGTGGGTGGTGGTGAGTGCACAGAGGGCAGAGGGTGGTTGGGAACCCTATGGACAGTGACAGCCTCTCAGGCAGCACACAGGCAGAGCATCCACAGAGAGGGGCAGTGTGCCGGGGTCCCTCCTGCAGCCCAGGCACTCAGCTGTTCAGGCCGAGGCCTCTGGAGCTGCCCAGTGATGACAGCAGCCACCACATGACCAGCATGGTGGCCATTCTTCCCTCTCACAGGCTAAGGAGCTCAGGCAAGCACCCAACAAGTGACAGTCTGCTCAGGGAGCGTGTGGGGGCTGCTAAGTGCCCAGCCCCCCAGCAGATCCCTAGCCTCCACTGCCTCCTGCTGCAGTTCCTACCACCTCTCTTCACTCCTCTCCACCCTCTGCCTTTCTCTCTGCCACAGCCCTTTTAACATCATCCTTTCCTGCCCAGTCCCAGCTTCTGGTTAGAGGATGCCAACTCCTGAGTTGGCCAAGAATGAAAGCTGGGGTGGGAGGAAAGTCCACCCAGGCCAGTGAACTCCTGGGATGTGGTTTACAAGAGGAGAGTCACAGAAGAATCATAGCCTGGCTGAACATGAGGGCCTCTGGGCAGCCCCCACTGGGGAAAGAAGGGGGGAGGGGCGGGCCCAGAAAAGGCAAGGCCCCTCTCGAAGACACAAAGCAAGGCAGAGGACCAGGCGGACCTGAAGGCCACCTCCTGACAGCCCAGGGGTCCCTCCTGCACCAGGCTGAGGTTTCAGCTGCAGAGCCAGCTGCTGCCCAGGGCAGAGCCCCAGGAGGGACTGCCTGTCGGCACAGCCACCACCCTGCCAGCCTAGGGCAGCTGCAGAATTCCCACGGAGAGGCACTTAGGGAAGGCGTTTGACTGGGTGGGGGGGTGGGGCTTGATAAAACAGAATAACCTGATGGAAAAGAACTGATTCTAGACACACTGCCTGGATTCAAACCCCAGCTCTGCCATTTATTAGCTGTATGACTGACTTAACCTTTCTGTGCCTCTGTTTCCTCATTAGTGGAATAGAGAAAGTTAGTGCCCAGCTCATTAAAGTTGCTGAAATGAGTTCACATATACAAATTGCTCAGAGCCATGCTGGGCAGAGAGTAAGCCCGAGTAAATGACAGCCCTGTTGTCTTAACACTGGGATAGCACAGCAAGCAGACTGCCTTGTGGTTGCTAAATGGGACTGGGGAGCTAATGAGGGTCATGGAGGGGCTAAAGCACGACTAGCACCCTCTCCCCACAGAGTCCAGCTTGGGTGGGTGTTCCTGGATCCTGCCGTTCCAGGATCCTTGGTTGGGCGTTCCAGGGACCTCAGCACCCTGCTCAGGAGGTGCCGGCTCACTCAGCCATTCTGGCCACCACCTTCATCCTGTGCCCAGCAGCCCAGGCCCCTCTGCTTCGTCTCCAGCCTCTGTGACCCTGTTCTGCTGCAAGGACTCTGCCCGCAGGGCAGGGATCTCTAGGTACCTGGGCAGGACTTGCCATTCACGCTGGCCTGCACAGCCTGGCCTCCCCCAAGGACGGGTGGGGCAGGCCCTGCAGAAGGTCCCTCTTCCTCCAGCAGCTCAGCTGGGGTGGCACAAGCAGTCAGGGCTTGGGGCTCAGCCTCTGAACCGGGCTGGGGTTCAAGCCAGGTGAATGATGCAAGCTGGCCACCTGCTGTCTTAGGTTGTGGTGGGTCTGAGGGATCGCCGCTTTAAAATTCCCCATTCTAATCCCAGGGAGCCTTCCCAAGGCCTGGGCCAGAGCCCCTTCCCCTTCCTTCCTGCCCACAGACACAGCCCAACAAGCCCACAGCCAGGAGAGCCTGGAAACAGGCCTGTGTAGTAAAAGAGGAAATCCATTTTCTTTCTTCCCTTGCCACTCCAGCCTCCCTCAACCCAGCCCCAGGACCACCAAGTCCACGTATACTAAATCATAAGTGCAAGAAGGCCCTGAATATAAACCAGTTCTCTCGTTTTGCAGAGAGAAACGGAGGCCCAGAGAGGCCTGGAAACCAGGTATGTGGTGGCTTTTCCCTCTGCCAGCTGCTCTGAGGAGGAGTCTGGTTTTATAGAGCCTGTACTCCGAACAGTCTACCTTCCCTCCCTTCCGGGGCGGCTCCCCACGTTCACCCCTCACACACCAGGCATGGCCATCCACCCAGGGTAAAGGTCCTAAGACAGGGAGGGGGGCTGGCTCCACAGGGCTCCCGGGGGACCACTGGGAGGATGCATAACTCACAGTACTTCCTCGAACTTCTTGTTGCGGTAAAAGTGGCTCTTTTTGATCAGGTAGATGAGTATCAGGTCACAGAAGAAAGACCCCTGCAAAAGAGTTGGGGGTCCCTGACTCAGACCTTTCACTTCTGGAGAGCCCACAGGCACGTGACCACTGCATCCTGTTTCATTCTGTAGCAATACCAGAAGCGTGCATCCTTGTCCCCATTCACAGATGGGGACGTGGGATCAGAAAGAGGCACCTCTCAGGTCACGAGGCTGGTCCACAGGAGAGCCTGACGTTCATCCAATCGTGTTTAACAAACACTTGCTGAGCACTCACACGTGCCAGGGAGGACTGAGACCATGAGACCCGCTGGGGACTCTCTGGTGTAAGAGACAGGCATGTAACTTATGGCCCATGGTGATGTGTCTTAGGAGGAGAAGGAGAGAGAAGGCAGGACTTGACTCAGTCTGGGTTGAGTCTTGAGGGCTTATAGGAATTAATACAAAAAGCTCAGGAAGGGCATTGCAGAGCAGGAACAAGCTTGTCGTGCCTGGGAAATTCCACAGGGCTGTGGGGGAAGAGTAAAGACACTCTGGAGAGCTGGGTAGGGACTGAAATGTCTTCAAGGCACTGGTTCTCATCCTCTCTGAGGGCGCTGAATAGGGCAGAACGCAGAACTGTGGCATTTTAAAAAGATCCCTCTGGGAATCAGCGTAAGAGATGGGTGTAGGGGATGCGGATAACAAGGATGCTGCAGTGGTGGCCAAGGAAAGATGAGGCAGCCTGCGCTAACCCAGCTGGAGCCCGCTGACGCCTGAGCACATGCACTTCTGGCAAAGTGCATGGAGCACCGCCTGTCTCTTCCACCAGAGGGCGAATCCACCGCAACAGCTGGTTTCAGAGTAAGGTTCCCAGAACAAAATACACTGACAAACAAGATGAGTAAGGGTCGGGATGGGAAGAGTTGATGGATGGGCCCACAGGTGAACCTGGTCCTCTGACTCTGGGCTCTGCATACTTTTTTTGTTTGTTTTCTGTTTCTTTTCCCAGATGCTAGAAATGTTTGTGTTTGTTTTTTTTTAGCAATCCCTTGTTCCACAGAGCCACAGTTGAGAAACCCTATATACAGGTGCATCCTGCCTCTTTAGAAGTAGAGATGAGGCTTTAAAAGTTCAGGGGCTAGCCGAAACTGGTTTGGCTCAGTGGATAGAGCATCAGCCTGCGGACTGAGAGGTCCCAGGGTCTATTCCAGACAAGGGCAATGTACACTGGTTGCGGGCACATCCCCGGTGGGAGGTGTGCAGGAGGCAGCTGGTCAATGTTCCTCTCTCATTGATGTTTCTGACTCTCTATTCCTCTCCCTTCCTCTCTATAAAAAATCAATAAAATATTTTTTTTTTTAATAAAACAAGTTCAGGGACTAATCCAGTTGTTGTATATTTACCCCGTGGAATACTATGCAGCTCTAAGAAAGAAGGAACTCTTACCCTCTTCGACAGCATGGATGGACCTGGAGAGCATTATGCTAAGCAAAGTAAGCCAGTCAGAGAAAGACAAATACCATATGGTCTCACTTATATGTAGAATCTAATGAACAAAATACACTGATGAACAAAATAGAACTACAGGCATGGATACTTGAAGCAGAGTGATAGGTGTCAGAGGGAAGGGTGGTGGGAGGGACTAGATGAAAGATGGTGAAGAGATTAGCCAAAGAACACATTGCATAACCCGTGGACACAGACAACAGTAGGGTGAAGGCCAGAAGGAGGGCTGGGTGGTGGAGGCTGACTAGAGATGGGCAAATGGCAGGGAGAATGGGGACATCTGTAACTGTCATAATAGAATAAAAATTAAAATTCAGTGGTAATCCTGTATCCCAGAGAACCCCCAGCCCTAAACCCCAGCTCCGGAGCAATAGGCAGGTGCCTGTGGCTCCAGAAAGAGAAACTCAGGCAGTCCTCTGCCCCCTGGGGCCCCTGGCAGGGTGTGAAGTCCAGAAAGTCCTCTTTACTGGCACCTGCGCTGACCTGCCAGTTGTTTCTGAGGCATTTGGACAACTCCCCTGGGGTGGAATCCCCGCCCCCCCCCCCCACCAGTGTGCAGAGGGTAAAGGGGAGGGAGGGGGGAGGTACTCACAACACCCATGAGTGCCACCCCTGAGCCCACGTTGATGATTGTGGGGATGATGTTGAACTTCCCTGCCTGAAGCACAGAGAGAGACAAGGCAGGGTGAGGGAGCAGGTGGGTAGCAGGGTCCCTCCCAACATGCCTGCCCGGCCCTGGACCTGCCCAGCCTCCCAAGGGGAGACGCAGCTCACCTACCCTGCCATTCACCAGGACATCAAAGCGGATCCCGTAGGCTTTGATCAGGGTGCGGAACTCCACCCCAGCTTCATCGCGGTAATATTTGGCAAACCTGGGGAGACAGCCCAGGGGAGATCTCAGCTGCTTTTGAGATCTAGAAGCATCCCCAGGACCTCGCTCTCAGCAGCCCTGGGAGAGGTTGCAGACCCTCTCTGACATGCCTAAGATTCATCTTTGAAGTCCTTGTCAGACACTCCCCAAGAGGCACGTGCTTTCCCACTGCACGCTGGCCAACCTGGTGGAGCTGAGCCAGCTGAGCGGTGACTCGCCCTCCTCTCCAGCGGCCATCCCTCCTCAGCTGTCTCTCCCTGCACCTCCGCTCTGACACTTACCAGGAAAGGGTGTCATAATGCTGGCACCCAGGAAAGGACACGAAACATGGATAGAGTCATAAGGCAGCAGGCCCAGCCCATTACCTGAAGTTATACCCGGAGGAGACAGAGTTTCCGGAAAACCTGCGGTCCAGCCGGCTAAAATAATAGCGAGGGTTGCATTCAGAGGGAGCTTTGTCAAGATCACAGTCCCACTCGATCTGGATCCCTATCACACCGCCCTGGGTGGGAGAGAGGAATCTGTGTCTGGGAGATGGACAGCAGTTACAGACCCGCTCTCCACCGACAGCTGGACAAGACTGGGGACGCCTTGAGGCCAGGGGTCAGCCCACTGGAGCGTCCTGGAAGGAAGGCGGGAGGCCCAGGAGGGGCTGGGAGAAGTGTGGCCGGCAGCCCCCAGCCCCGCCGCCTCCTGCCTCCTGCCTCCGAGAGAACTACCTGCTGAGCACCTACTACACTATGGGCAGTCACCTTACACAGCCAGGATGTGCCCGTGGGGCTCCTTTGGGTGCAGTTTCAGCTGCTGCCCCAGCGACTAAGAACCAAACGGCAGGTGCTGAGTGTGCCCCTCACCGAGTGCCCGAGGTCCGAGCGCAGGCACAGGCTGTGTCACAGCGAATTCTGAAAACAGGAAGTCCCTGGGGCAGGTGACTTTGCAGAGCCACCCCACCCCATGGGTTCCCCCACACACCCCTCCTCATTCAGAGCCCCGAGGCTCGCACCCACCTGCACAGCTATCTCCTGGAAGTTGCTCCCAGCCCACCTGACCACAGACCCCAGTCGGAAGATGGGGCAGTAGGGGTCCTTGGGGCCAAACCGACAGGACTTCAGGTAAGCTCTGTCCTCGGTGTCCAGCACATTGGTCCTGGGGGCGGCCAGGAACAGACGGTGAAATGAAGGCACACTTGCTGTTTCCAGGCTGAGTTCCTGACTATAGCTCTCAGCTGGAGCCCCAACCACATCCACGCTGACATCCCACCGCTTTCAAGAACAGACCCCCACCCCACAGCAGGGAGGGCACCCAGCCTCCCCCTGCGGTCCATTCACACCCAGTGTCTCACACACACACACACACACACACACGCAGGGGCCAGCCATGGCCCCAGCCCTGGGTCCCCAGAAGCCACGCCCCACATACTTGGAGAAGTTGAATTTGGGGAAACGAATGAAGTTCTTGATGTAAATGGTGAAGTCTTCGGCCTTGCCCAGGAGAGGCTTCCTGAAAACCCAGCCAGGACAGCCTGCTTAGGAAGCCCTGCCCTTCACGCCGCGGCCCCGCCCCCTGCACTCCCAGGATCCCCTGGAGCCTTTGCCAAGGGCAGTTCATGGTGGGGTGGAGTTCAGGCCTTTGCGGGGGGTCCTTGGAATGAGGATCTGGGAGTGGACATGCCTCTGCCATCAGACTTGGACCCGCTGCCCAGGACTGGGAAACCCCTTGAGGTCCCAAACCACAGCCACGTACTCCGGCCTGGACCTTGTTTCCACCGGGCACCAGGCGAAGATCTCGCAGGTGCCTCTTTGCATGTTCTCCGCCCGCAGGCAGCGGCCGGTCCTCACTCCTGCAGGTGGGGACAAGGGTGGTGCCAGGAGCCTCCAGGCCCCAGCCTTCTCTCTACCCCCCACGCCCCGCCCCGGCCATCCAGGCCTCACCATTTCCAGTCACGACAGGCTCCCCAGGAGGACAGTCACTGTCCTCGGAGCACACGGCGTCGGGAATGCTTTCATTCTGCCAGGAGAGAAGGGGGCCTGTGTGGAGGGCTCCCCTGCAGGTTCCCAGCTCAGCCAGTCCCACCCCAGGGGTCGGACAGAGGCTCCTCCCTGCCTGGGGCCACACACCCTTTGAGAACCTTTCTCCCCCAGAGAACAGGTACATGCACCGTGTACGTCCCCCCGCCCAGGGCCCTGGGGGGCACAGAACTGCTTCTGGAGATGGCACAGCCCTCCCCACCCTTCCCCCAGCCCCTGCCCCGTGCCAGGGTCTTCCTCCACCTCCCAGCTCTGGTGCCAAAGCAAACCTCAGCACAGGTTTCCTGCCGCTGGTTGGGGGTCACAATCAGGTTGGTGATGACGAAGAAGACGTTCTCCCCCTGAGCAACCAGAGAGGAGTTAAGGAACCGCCTGCTCTCTTGGAACCCTCCCTCCCAGGGCTGCCTGGCAGGGCGGGGCCTCTGCATGGCATTGGGGACAGTGGAGCCATAAAATCAGTGGCTCCCATCCCACCCATCTGCCCACTGTCCTAGTCCTTGAATGGGTTCCTCCCAGACCCACACCTACAAATCGCCCCTGCCCCACAAATCCCTGTTCTGACCTCAGCCCCTGGGGTCCAAGCACGGATCCAGGAGGAAAGCAGTAATGGGGCAGCTTCGCCCTGGCCCAGGGAGACTGTGATCCGGCCAGGGAGCTGATCTAAGGGACTCACACCAACTTGGAAATTCTCTGAGCCCCATTGGTTTCAACAGGTTCAGGGTTTGCTGGGAACAGAGCAGTCCCATGAGGCACAGAAAAGGAGGGCAGGAGTTGGACTTGGGGTAGGATCGGTATAGGATCTCTCTGTGCAAACCCTGGCAGCTGTTCTGGGCCACGGGAGACAATGAATGGAGGTCCTTGGGTCCCAGCACTCTGCCAGCCGGGGTTCAGACCTGGGGTGGGATGACGTAGTCAGCAACGTCCCAAAGCCGCTCCCCCAGCTCCGAGGTGTTGGTGAAGATCACACCCTTGACTTTGGTGATGATGCTGCTCTGCAGGGAGGTGTCAGTGTCTTGATAACTCTTCTTCACTAGGAATACCCAACTGCGGAAGGGCCAATAGGTGGGTGTCAGCCCAGGTTAGGCTCCACCCTGCCCACACTCCTGGACTGGGTCACAACTCCCACTGCTGCCTGGAGCCCATCCTGCAAGCAGCAGAGGTGACAATCCCAGGTGAGTGTGCTGCTCTCAGTGGGGCTGGGATGAAACCTGCTCACCTCAAACTGGCTATAGGCCTTCAAGCAAGCCAATGACCTCTGGGGTTAACAGGACAACAGCACCTTCCTCCAGGTGTAAGGAAGGTTAAAGGTCATGGTGCATAACCTGAACCAATCACAGGGGGGACCTCAGTCAAACCCAAACTAAGGGGCAGTCCATAAAATTTGAGAGCAAGAAAAAATAGGTAAGTTGGGCTTTACCAAAATTAAGAACTTTTATGCATCAAAATACACTATCAAGAAAGTGAAAAGATAATTCACAAGATAGGAGAAAATAATTGTGAATTATATAACTAGTAAAGACCTAGTACCCAGAATATATAAAGAAGTCTTACAACTCAACAGTACAGAAGACAAATAACCCAGTTTAAAATTGTGCCAAGGATTTGAATAGACATTTCTCCAAAAAGATATAAAAATAGCCAATAAGCACATGAAAAGATGCTTAACATCATTAGTCATTAGGGAAATGCAAATACAAACCACAATGAGATATCACTTCACACCCAATAAAATGGCTATAATAAAAAAAATGGAAAATAATAAATGGTGAAAATGTGGAACAACTGGTACTGGTGATGGGAATGTAAAATGGTATAGCTGCTGTAGAAAATGGTTTGCAGTTCCTCAAAAAGCTTACCTTATAACCCAGCAATGCTACTCCTAAGTGTAAACCCAAGAGAATTGAAAACATGTTTACATAAGAAGTGTACATTAATATTCTTAGCAGCATTATTCATAATAGCCAAAAAGTAGAAACAGTCCAAATGCCAACCAACCAATGAATAGATGAACAAAATGTGGTATATGCATACAATGGAATATCATCTATATATATAAAGAGCCAGGGTCTATAAGTCCAAAATGACCGAATGAACACCAGAACTCAGTCCTGCAGTCACAGCGACCCAGCATTGACTGCTGCAGCTGTGGGCATGTCCACCCAGCACTGACTGCCAAGGGGGCTGCGGATCAGGCCAGGAGAGAGGACCAGAGACAGAGGCAGGATCTGATCATCAGCCTCCATGGCAGCTGTTGATCAGTTCTTGCCTCTCCCGTTCTTGCCAGCAGCTGTGGGGGCTGCCGATCAGCCCCACTTCTCTGATCAGACCTGGAGAAATGCCCAGAGATGCTGACTGACATAGAAACTGACCAATCAGAACTAAATCTGGGTGAACTGCAAGGAGCCAATGGCTGCCTAGGAGGCAGACCTTTTGATGCTGACTGACATAGAAACCAACCAATCAGAACCTAATATGGGTGAACTGCGAAGGCAGAACCTAAGGTATGGGGTTGAGGATGGGTTTTAAGGGCAACAGTTGCTTGATGTAAGGTATAAGAAAGTGGTTAAACTTTTTAGTGACCAGTTTGGCTATATAGTGCATATGTCTGGCTATCAGTCCAGATATAGGGATTATGTTTTTTTGTCTGCTAAGAGCATCTCCTCCTGCTAAAAAAGGCTCCTCCCACCCCATTTAAGCAATCCTATCTTATATAATCTATCTGTACTAATAAAAGGATATATACTAATTAGAGCAGTTGACCAATCATCTTCCAGACATCTGACTTCTTCCCGACAAAGCCATGGTGGTGGGGGCCGATGCAGAGGCAGTTAGGGGTGATCAGGCCAGCAGGGGAGGGCAGTTGGGGGTGAGCTCAGGCCAGCAGGGGATGGCAGTTAGAGGTAATCAGGCAGGCAGGTGAGCAGTTAGGTGCCAGCAGTCCCAGATTGCAAGAGGGATGTCCAATTGTTGGACATTACCCAAGGGGTCCCTGATTGGAGAGGGTACAGGCTGGGCTGAGGGAACACCCCCACCCCTGCACAAATTTTGTGCCCCGGGCCACTAGTTCAGTCATAAAAGGATTGAAGTACTGACACATGCTTCAACATGGATGAACCTTGAACACATTATGCCAAATAAAAGAAGTCAGAAAAACAAAAGCCATACAATGTAGATTTGATTTCTAAGAAATGGCCAGAATGGGCAAACATATAGAAACAAAAAGTAGGTTCGTGGTTGCCAAGGGCTTAGGGATAGGGGAGAATTATGACTGACTGTTAATAGATACAAGTTTTTTTTGGGGGGGAGGATGATATAAGTGTGCTGGAATTAGGTAGTGGTGATGGTTGTACAATATTGTGAATATTCTAAAAACCACTTAATTGTATAATTTAGAATGATAAAAATGGTGAATTATATGCTATGTATATTTTACCTGAATTTAAAAATGGATTTTTAAAAATTCTATATTCTTCAGAAAATGGCAGTGTCATGAATCACAGAGAAAGACTCAGGAACAATTCCAGATTGAAGGAAACATGACAATGAGTGCAAGGCATGAGCCCACATTATTGGGACAATTTACAAAATGTCAATAGTTTAAACAACAATGACATTTCAATGCTAATTTTCCTAATTTTCCTACTTGTACTTGGTTAAATAAGAGAATTCCTTATTTTTAAGAAATACACAATGAGCAAAGAGGGATTGTGTTTGCTATCTACTCAAACAGAAAAAAAATCCCTATGTATCTGGAGAGAGAAAGCAGGACAGCACAAATGTAGTAAAATGACATTTGGAGGATTTAGTTGTGTGATGGTCTACAGTACCCCCCTGGTAGAGGACGTGGGTTGATATACCTTAGCCAAGCATAACTTCTGCTTTTCTGAGAACAGTTCTGTTACCTGACTTCACCCCAGGCATATCCTGCTCACTGTAACCGCAAGGCAGAAAAAAAGAAACAGAAAAACTAAGATAACAGGAACCCAAGCCCAGGTGTTACTTAAAGAAAAAAAAAATTTTCCCCCCCCCGAAACCAGTTTGGCTCAGTGGTAGAGCGTTGGCCTGCGGACTGAAAGGTCCCAGGTTCAATTCCGATCAAGGGCACTGTACTGCATCTCCGGTGGGGGGTGTGCAAGAGGCAGCTTGGTCGATGTTTCTCTCTCATCAACATTTCTAACTCTCTCTCTCTCTCTCTCTCCCTTCCTCTCTGTAAAAAATCAATAAAATATATATTTTTTAAAAAAAATTTTCCCCATTGCTTTTGTAACTAACCTTTCTTTGTTAAAGATGTTAGCCAATCACAAACTGCTAAATCTCCCTGTGTTGGAGATAAAAACTGCTTGTTGCCAAGGTTCAGGGCTCTCGTGGCTCTCTGCTGTTATCAGTTGAGACGTGAGCCCGGACTCGAGACCGTAATAAAGGCTTCCTAAATTTCAACTTGGCTGTCTGGTGGTCGTCATTCGCGGGTCGCCCACAACAGTTGAAGGGCATTTAAAAAGTATTTTTACTAATGTACTTTTCTATAAGTCTAAAATTATGTCAAAATACAAAACAAAAAAAATTTAAACACTGAGATGGTGCCTATACATTGTTTAGCACAGAAGAGTGCCTGGCACAGAGCAAGAGCTCATTGAATGCAGCTCACCAGTTTGTTGCTGATGTTACTGTTAATATTAGAGACTGTTCAGGCTAACTGAACCTTGGGAAAGCTGGGGAAACTGAGGCCAGGGAGGTCATGCAGTAGTGGTGTGGGATGCCAGTAAGGGTTCTCTGCAGAGCTGGTGTCAACCAGCATGTGTCCACCCTCTTCCTCTCTGGGGGCACGTCCTGGGCCCTAGACTGGCCTGTCTCTCAGGAACTCTGAGAGGGCTGTGACCCTTGAGCCAACCAGCCATTTTGGAAGGGTCACGCTGGGCTCCACCTGGACAGAAACACCCAGCAAATACTCAGGAGCATTCATTCCCTCATTCATTCACACCATTGCCCGAGTGGTTAGTGATGCCAGGCCCCTTCCGCATGATGTTCCCAGCCTCACAGGGACTCAGACACAGACATCAAGCAAAGGAGCCTCCAAGCAGGCATGTAATTACACTGTGGGGGCTTATTTGACATGTGGGAGGAAAGGAGAGGGAGCTGGGGGAGGTCCCAGATCTGAAGGAGGAGCAGATACCGCCCAGGTGGAGGAGGAAGGGCACTCCTGGCTTAGCAACAGTTTAAAGGCCGTCAGGTGGGAGACATAAGGGCGAAACTGGGGAAAGGCCCCGGTGATCAGGGCCGCCCTCCAGCTGGAGCGTCTGCTCCTCCCCCAGTCAGGAAATGGGAGGGGCGGGCCACTGAAGGAGTGAAAGAGGCGCACCTGCATCCCAGTCCTCTGTGGCCATTTCCTCCCCCGCTTTTCCCCTCCCTACTCAGGGGCCAGGGCTCTGGGCAGTGCCCGGCAGCGGAACCACCCCAAGGAGCTGCCCCTCTGCTGCTGGCACCAGCTTCTGCCAGGTGGGAGGGAGATGTGGGGGGACAGAGGCCCCCCAGCTGGACACCGGAGAGGCTAGCCAGGTGGGGTGAGCTGACCAGAGGGACATGCCAGCCTCCTGAGCGGCCCCAGCGGGAGGCTTGGCTCTGAGCTCAGTGATTATAAATAACCTCCCTGTGTGGGTGGCTTCCGGGAAGACAGCTGCAGCCCAGCCAGCCCCCTGCCACCTTGCCCCTTCCCACCGGCCCAGGCCCGGAGGAGGGAGCCGCCTGGGAAAGCCGCCCAGATCCCCTGCCGCATCTTGGCACCTCGGGAGCCGGTGTCCCCGGAGCAGAGGGCTCCCTCCTTAGGCCCACCCTTACCCCCACCCCCACCCAGGGGACACGAGGTGACACAGGCCAGTTCCCGACCCCCGGGAGGCCCGCCCCGCCCCTTCCCCAGCCCCGCACTCACACCACCAGGTAGGTCAGGATGGAGAGCTGCAGCAGCCGGTAGAGCAGGCCCACCTTCTTGTTCTTGGCGATGACATACTTCTCCGTCTTGTAGTCGAACAGCGACTGGTAGAGCCCCTTGCAGCTCGCCTGCCCCATGGCGCCGGCTCACCGGGGCCCGGGCTCGGCGCCGCGGCGCGTGTGTCTCATGGGCGCCGCCCGCCCCTCGCCGTGGGCGCCCGCCCCGCTGCGGCGCCCGGAGCCGGGAAGGCACTGCGGAGGCGGGGACGGCGCCCAGGGGACCGCGACCTTGCCGCCGCCGCCGCCTCCGAGCTGGCACGGTGACACCAGCGGACTGGACCGCCAGAGCCGCCCGGAGTGCCCCCGCCAGTGCGCGGGCAGGCGGCGCAGGAGGAGTGAGCGCCAGGGTGAGAGGAGGAGGAGGAGGGCTCTCCTAAAGCAATCTCCCTCCCCCGCTGCACTGGCGCCTCCTGGAGTGGACGGGGAAACGGAGGCCTGGGGAGGAGGGAGGACTCTCCTAAAGCAATCTCCCTCCCCCTCTGCACTGGCGCCTCCTGGAGTGGATGGGGAAACGGAGGCCTGGGGAGGAGGGACCTGCGCCCGGGAAGCGGATGTGAAAAGGGACGAAAAGCATTTGTAGGTAAACGCCAACAGGTGTTTCTGGCTCCCGGGAGCACCCGGCCCACCACACAGGCTGGGGGAGAGGAAGGGTTTGACAGAACACGCCAGCTCCGAGCCCAGCGGGCATCTCATCGCAGCTGCGGCCGGTGGTAACGCCTCGCCCAGGAGTCAGCGCCCCCACGCAGCCAGGATCTCTGCACCACCCGGGGCAGGTGGGCTGGGGTGGGGGACACAGGCAACCAAGGCCCCGGAGCATCACGTACATCTGCGGAGAGGGCCTGTGCCAGCCGTCTGAAACGGTCCAAAGCACGACAGAGACCTAAGCTAGGCCGCCAAGACTGCAGGCCTCATGGCCCTGGAGCTAACTGAGCGAGTGGGGCCGGGATGAGGGAGGTCACCTCGGTGATCCACCTCAGAGAGGGGCCCTCTGGGAGCTCTCTCTTTGTGTGAGGAGCTGTGCTTGCTCCTTTTCTGCCTCCTGCCATCCCGGAACACTGCCCCTCTCCCTAGCAGGTCCCCCCCCCCCCCCCACACACACACACATACACACAAGAGCTTCCTCTCCCTGAACCATGGGCTCTGGGCGTGGGAAAGAACCCTGAAGCGCACCAGGTACTGTCTCCAGGTTCAGTGTTTATGGGAATCGGTCGGAAGGAACATGCAGATTCCTGGGCCCTGGCCCTAATGTTTTTATTTGCTAAATAGGGCCTGGAAATCTGTATTTCGCTCTCAACTGACATTTAGAAGCACAGATCCTGGTACCTTTTCATCAATTTCAACTCAAATGCCATTTCCTCAAAAAGGCTTGTTCTTATCACCACCCACCGAAAGTACCCTTTATTGGTTTTAGAGAGAGAGGGAGGGAGAGAGAGAAACATCAATCTGCTGCACCCTGCAGGCCCCTCACTCGGGATCAAGCTCATAACCCAGGCAGGTGCCCTGACCAGGAATCAAACTGGTAACTTTTTGACTCATGGGATGATGCTCAACCAACTGAGCCACTCCAGCCAGGAAGTGCCCTAGTTTCCACGTCACCTGGCTGTGAGCCCAGCCAGAGATGTAACTGTGCCGTCCATTTCACACTGGCTGGACGGAGGCGGAGGTCAGCTGAGAAGCTAGGACTGGTAGGTTCTGGGCCATGCGCTGAAGGGATCAGTCCTCTAGAGCCCTTGGCTGCCTCCAGATGACGTTTCGTGTGTAGCTCACACGTCTGCCCTGCTGGGGCCTGAACAAAACCGTCTTACTGGCCGTACAGTAAGTTTCCCCTGGAGGGAAATTCCCCTGGAGGGAAATGGGCTCTCGTGATGCCTCATGAGTGAGGGTCAACCAAGAGACGGGCACCTTCTGCAGGTGCTGCAGGGCCGAGAGCTCCACCTGGTCTGCCAGGAACTGACTGGATGCCTTGCAACTTCACTCCTTGGGTCAGGGGTCAGGGGTCAGGGGTGACTGGCTAATCTTCAAAGTAGTCAAAGCCCCCTCTGGCCTCACCACTGTGCCCCTCCCCTCCCCTCTCCCAACGGAGTCCACATCACACTTCATTGGAAGTTTTCCACATGAAAGAAAAGGATTGACGGTGAACCGTTCTCATCTGGTTCACAGATGGTGGGCAGAGTAAGGCACCAGTGGTGAAGTGACAGGGAATTATGAAGTAAACTTAGAAAGTGTTCCTCCCGCCGAAACCGGTTTGGCTCAGTGGATAGAGCGTCGGTCTGCGGACTGAAAGGTCCCAGGTTAGATTCTGGTCAAGGGCATGTACATGGGTTTCGGGCACAACCCCAGTAGGGGGTGTGTAGGAGGCAGCTGGTCGATGGTTCTCTCGCATCGATGTTTCTAGCTCTCTATCTCTCTCCCTCTCTGTGAAAAATCAATAAAATATATTTTTTTTAAAAAGAAAAAAAGAGTGTTCCTCCCTTTACTTATCTCCCTTGCTGCTAAGATATGCCAACATTCTAAGTCTGTTGTTCTGTGTGGTCTGGATACACTTGGAGAGCCAACTTGGTCTGCTCTGGGTCTGGCCCAGTCCTAGTAAGAACCATGGTGGCTCCTCCAGGGTCTCTCCCTCCCCCTTCTCCCCGCTAAGAAATGTGCTGCCAGCCTGCTTAGGGGAAACAGACCCTGCTGCCTCTGACTCCAACCTCCCCCCATACCATTCTATTCCTTCTATGAATTTTATGGATTTCAAAGGAGGAAATAGAGAGCAATGGGGTGAGCCTTTGGAGGCAGGAGAACCGTAAGAGCACTCCCTCAACCCCCACTCCGGGGGCTGAGAGGAAGCTTCTAAGAGGAAACCTGGTGGCTGTAGGACAGTGGCCAATGGCTCCACTGTGTTTCCATCAGCAGCTTGGAGCTGGCACTTGGTCACCCTGCATCCTCAGAGACACACGTGTTCCTCCTTCAGCCTTCCCCTTAGCCTGAGAGCTAACAAACTCCACAAAGGTTCTCCACTAACCAAAGGAAGCAAAATGAAGAAAACAGAAACCCCATCGAACGCTGTGGTGCTTGGGGTGGAGGTTCAACGTTACGGACACACAGTGACTGTGCCTCTGTTTCGCCCCAGAGGAGGAGGGGTCGTGCGAGGCCAGGAGGGAGGAGCTGAGTCTCCGAGGCCCCACCAGGAGGTCATCACAGGCCCCCAGCACCAGGCGCAGAGCCGCGCTCTGCAGGCCTGAGAGCCGGGTGGCCCAGAGGGACAAGAGTGGGCAAGGCGAGGTGTGGAAAGGGTTTCACGAATGATCCTTTAATTTTTCTTCAGCTCTGGCAGTCCTGCTATGATCAACACATTCCATTAATAGACATTACTGGGCCATTTAAGAAGTAGCAGATGCATTATTAATGTCATTTCGATGCAGTCAACAGGAAAAAGAGAAGCTCCTCTCAGTGGGGCGCATTTCCAAGCCCATCAAAGCGCCCGCGGCCCATCTTAACTGATGGGTTGTTACTCATTATTTAGCTCTCACTCTACCAGGGGAACACTCTCCCGAGGCTTCAAACACTTGAAGAGTAAAGATTGCTTCTCCACTGGCCTCTGAAAAGGATAAAGATTCAAAGTCAGGCCAACCACACCCACAGAGTAGCAACCACTCTTGACATGGACACCTCGGCACAAGCTCACCTTGTTCTTCCTCCTGCTTCTTGTAGCAGTTTCCTACAGAGACTTCATGAAATCCCTTCCTCCCACCCCCTGCTCTCCACTTCAAGACCACAGGGCTGTGGTGGTAATGAAACAAGAATGAGCAGGAAATCTTCACATAAACACTGCAAGGGGTGTAGCCATGATTCCTTGTACACAGTTCTGCAGATGCTCATTTTCCATTGCGACTTCTGTCCCCACCTGCCCCGGGACACACACGCGGCTTCAGGTGTGGCTCACAAGCTTCATCACATCCTTCCCTTCCCAACCTCCGTGCCTTTGCACAGGCGGGTCTCCCCTCAGCCCTTCATGGCTTCGAGGCTCAGCTTACAGGGGTCTAGCTCCATGAAAGCCTCCTGGATCCCTCTTTTTCTTTTCTTTTTCTTCTTCTTCATTTTTTTAAAAATATATTTTATTGATTTTTTACAGAGAGGAAGAGAGATAGAGAATGCCCTTGACTGGCATCGAACCCGGGACCCTACAGTCTGCAGGCCGACGCTCCATCCATTGAGCCAAACCGGTTTTGGCTAGATCCCTCTTTTTCTAAATCTCCAAAGGACAGGACCTGTGTGGTTTACAGTCACCATTGGGTATGTATCTGATTGGCTGTTTAGGGCCATGAGGCCAGGAAAGGGCTTTACCACTCTGCCACCGGACCTTGAAGCAGGCAATTGGGGAAGCTTGTAGAATAAGAGGAGGGAGGAGCCCTAACCGGTTTGGCTCAGTGGATACAGCGTCTGCGGACTGAGGGGTCCCAGGTTTGATTCTGGTCCAGGGCATGCACCTTGGTTGCAGGCAAATCCCCAGTATGTGCAGGAGGCAGCTGATCAATGTTTCTCTCTCAATTATGTTTCTAACTATCTATCCCTCTCCCTTCCTCTGTAAAAAATCAATCAAATATATTTAAAAGAGTAAAGAGGAGGGAGGGAGGGAGGGAGGGAGCGAGGGGGGAAGGAAGGAGATGGAAAGGGGAAGGAGCAGAGGAAGGAAGGGAGGTTGGATTGATTTCTGATCATCCTACCTCTGCCACTAGCCTGAGTATTTAAAGTGTCAGGGATAGGGTGACTGAGCATTTATTTTTGTGTGTATCCTATATAATAAAAGACTGATATGCACATTGACTGAGTCAGAGGCAGCAAGTGGGTGGCACCAGGCCAGCCAAGGTGGGTGCCAGCAGGCAGGAGGAGGCCAGACTGCAGCTTACCGGTAGGCCACTCCCTGGCTTAGGCCACTCCCTAGGGAGCGGGCCTATGCTGTCAGTCAGACATCCCCTGAGGGCTCCTGGACTGCAAGAGGGCACAGGCTGGACTGAGGGACCCCTACTCCCACCCCCATCCCGCTGCCGAGTGTATGAATTTTCATGCACCAGGTCTCCAGTATTCATATAAGATCTCAAGAAATAATTCTACCAGAGAATGAAGTTAAATTTGTCACCTGAAACAACTTCTTAGTCATCAAGACTCCAAGCGTAATCTCATAGCT